TTCTTGGTGAGTTTTCCAGTCTGAATCATTGTTTCTCAGGGCCAGATGTACTAACGCTTTTGTGCCCACTTTAGGCGTATTTGTTTCGTATAGTGCGCATAAAACCATGGCGAGGTGTGCGAACGGGACACACCGAGATGAAAGCACAGACTGCCTGACGTGGTAACTGAAAATGCAAAATGAGCTTTCCGTGTCATGCATATGCATTCATGGGATGTCAAGGGGAAAGTGGGAGTGTCACATAAAGAGATGGGAGGGAAAGCGTAAACTGCGCCTAATTGTGTATTCCGCATTATGTACAGAAAAAGCCGGTGAAAGCACGCCTCTATTTTGCGCTGAAAATTCTCCGCCTCTTAAAAGTAGGTGTAACTAGGAAGCGGGATTCCTGGCGTTTGCCTCCTGCAGCAGTAACCCGATCAAGACCAAGACATAGGCTAAGGAGACGAGCTGAAAAGATTTTTGCAACCAGAATCGCACTTTTTCAGTTGAGTGAAAATCATTGTGTTACAGATTAAGCAGCTACACAATATTACATCTTCAACTCAGCATTCAGCAGTTGTTAAACTCCTCACTACCATAACACCAAAATGCTGCAGTAAAATGGTTTGATACGAGGGGTACATACTGTATGGGACGTCCAATATAAGAACTTACCATTACTTTTTTCAAGTTATAAGAAATTAGATATTTTATTTGCCTCCGAAGTCGAATAATGTGACATATCTCCAAAATGCTCTATGCCATATGGGACCTCCCCTGTAAGAACTGACTATTAGTTTTTTTCTACTTATTAGAAATTTGCCCTTGATAGATGCCCTTGTACATCTGGCCCTCAGTGTTTGCGTCTGTTGTATCTTCACGTACATGTCTTGTGTTGTAGGAGTCTTGAATATTACTGTCAGTGCAGAGGCAGAGGAGTCCCAGACTGTGTGTGACAATGAGATTGTGAGCGTCCCAGAGAGAGGACGCATTGACACGGTCACACGAAGTCTGCTTGTACAGGTCAGCGCACGCCAAATATCTCTGAGATATCATTTACCATTTATCATAATGCTTGTGTCAGTGTATTGTGTTAATGTGATTGTTTTATGCTGCAGGCGGAAGGAACTGAAAAGACAGAGACTCGAAGCTGGTTATTGTGTCCAAAGGGTTTGTCCACAGAATTTTTTTTAGATTTTATTTTTATGTTATTTGATATTAAACCATAGCGTTACTCTGCTGATCACTGATGTTTCTGTCTGTCTGGTTTGTAGGTGAAAGTCTCTCAGAGGAAGTGGATCTGACTCTCCCTAAAGATGTGATAGAGGGATCAGCCAGAGCCTCTGTTTCAGTCATTGGTAAAATTTACAAATACAAGCAGAAATGAGGAGATTGGGTTTGGATTTATAAAATGTAGTTTAATTTGTGTATGGTTTATAGGCGACATATTGGGTCGTGCACTGAGGAATCTTCACGGATTATTACGGATGCCGTACGGCTGTGGAGAGCAAAACATGGCTGTTCTTTCTCCCAATATTTACATTCTTCAGTATCTGGAGAACACAGAGCAGCTCACCACAGCCATCCGAGAGAGAGCCACAGGCTTCCTGAAGAGCGGTGAGAGACAGCAATCGTGTCAAGGAAATACTGAGAAAATACTGCCAAATTACACATTTTTCAATACACCTGAATGTCATCCAGTAAAGTTGAATAATCAGAGACACTGAGTCAACTCAAACAAACTGTTGAAGTGTTAACCATTATCACACCAAACAGGATACCAGAGACAAATGAACTACAAGCATTCGGATGGATCATACAGCACATTTGGTTATGGCATTGGAAATACATGGTAAATATATTTTCACAATTACTTTTGTTAAACAGAAATAATATCAAGATAATCTACAATAATGAACCCAAGAGAATAGTACAAAAAACACATTTAAGAATGTGTCTCAGTTCAAATTGTTTGATGGATGGAATTAATTAAAACACCTGATGAGATTTCTTTTTTAATTTTATCTTCCACACCACCAGGTTGACTGCCTTTGTCTTGAGGTCTTTTGGCAGAGCACAGAAATACATATTTGTTGATCCAGAAATTATCCAGGATGCAAAGAATTGGTTAATAAGTAGACGGGATTCAGACGGCTGTTTTATCCAACAGGGAAGCTTGTTCAACAACAGAATGAAGGTCTGTCAACTTCAATCCATATCTCTCTATATAGAACACCATAGCAGCCATCAAGAAATGGTCCAGTAACTACCTAAAAAACCTGGAAACTAAGACCTGTAAAAGTTTAAGCTTTAAAAAAAGTAAAAAAAAACTTTGGTCTAGATTATGCCAGGATTCTGCCTTAGTTAAATTTGGATATTTAAGTACTAGAAGCGTCTGCCAAATGCATGTATAAAGCAAGTTTTTCTAGTTTAACTTTTCTTTAGTAGTGTGTTGCTTTATTTATCCTTCATTTTTCATATATTCCAGGGTGGCGTGAATGATAATGTGACCATGACTGCCTACATTACTGCATCATTGCTTGAACTGGAAACTCCGGTCACAGTAAGTTCATCTTCAGGAAACACATTATAAACTCAAAGAGAAATGACACTCACAGTGTCTGTTTCTGTTTTTGTCACAGGATCCTGTCGTCAGTAAAGGTTTGTCATGCATGAGGTCCGTCATTGAGGATGTCAAAAACATTTACATCACTGCTCTGCTCGCCTACACTTTCAGTCTGGCTAAAGACACGGACACTCGACAGCAGCTTTTCAAGAAACTGGAGGATGTTGCTATTTCAGACGGTAAGAGGTTTGTTTCTGATGACTTTCTGTTGTCTTTCCTGTCTTTTTATCATGCTCATTGAGTTACGCGTGTGTCTTTTGTCCTCAAGGGTCTCATCTCCACTGGTCTCAGTCTGCATCTGCTGGTGACTCTGATTCTCTGGCAGTGGAGATCAGCTCATATGTGCTGCTAGCTGTTCTCTCTGCAGATTCAGTCACTACAGCTGATCTGGGCTATGCTAACAGGATTGTCAGTTGGCTTGTGAAGCAGCAGAATGCCTATGGAGGATTCTCCTCCACACAGGTGACTCAAACTACTCCAATCAAACACATTATTACTGGTGTGAATGAGTAAAAGTGACATTACTGAACACATTTATTTCCCAGGACACAGTGGTGGCTCTTCAGGCTCTGTCTCTGTACGCCACCAAAGTGTTCAGCTCTGACGGCTCCAGCACAGTGACTGTACAGTCAGCAGGAGACACTCACCACTTTGATGTCAATCAGGACAACAAGTTACTGTACCAGGAGAAGCAGCTGCTTACCGTTCCAGCCAAATACAGCATTGAAGTGAAGGGCTCAACCTGTGTGTCTGTGCAGGTCTGTAGTGCGTTCAGCTTCATTTACTCACACTCCCTTTCTCTCTTGGCATTGTGGTTATTCTGCTGTGAGATGGTTCATTAATTTATTTTGGTTTGTGTTGACTCTCAGATGGCTCAGTTCTACAACATTCCCACTCCTACTGAAGCTAAAACATTGAGCATTGATGCTAAGATTGAGGGAGACTGCAAAACATTGGGACAAAATTTCATTTTGAATTTCACTGTCAAGTAAGAAAATCTCTATTCAGTCAAAAGTCAAAAGAAGTTACTAACAAATAAATCTTTACTGAATATCATTTGAAAAAGCAATATAAATTGAAATGGCATATCTCAGTATTTAAAACTGCAACACTAACTCTAGAAACAAGAAAACATTTTTTTTTATTACTGACACATTATGAGTGATGATAACTGCACGAGTCTTGTTAATTATATTGGCTTTTGTTCTCGCATTTAAGAACCAAATCTTTTCGTTTGCTCTTTTCCAGATATGATGGTCTACAGGAAAGGACTAACATGGTCATTGTGGATATTAAAGTCTTATCTGGATTCACAGCTGATACATCAATGGTGTGTTTGAGTGACTCATCACAGAATGTGTAAAGTTTAGAGTTCACTATTAAGAAATTAACCAGCACTTTTCCCCCACAGCTTGGAACATACTTACCATTTGTGGAACGGGTTGATTCTAAAGATGATCATGTCATTGTGTATTTGAAGGAGGTGAGAAAACAGCAACATTCATATTATTTGAAGTCACTAGATCGATTCATAAACATTTTATCTGTAATTTCCATACCTGGTGTGTTTGTTTCCTCCCTCAGATTCATCAAAATATTCCAATGAATTACCAGATACAACTGAAACAGATTCTTCCAGTGAAGAATCTCAAGCCAGCTGTGGTCAAAGTGTACGATTACTACCAAACAAGTAAGATTTAATTTGCCAGTGTTGAATGTTTTGATCATCTAATGCACATTGTTTTTTTCAGATTTACAGGTTTTCATTTTTCTATGAATGTGAACATCTTTCTTTTCCTACAGGTGATCAGTCAGAGGCCGAGTACTCCTTTCCCTGTGAATGAAGCTGCTGAAGTTCATCACCTCATAGCCCAACCCCGCCACCACCCCCCCTATGAACATGACTAACATGACTATTCAATTCACAATATGATTAATAAAAGTGATGATAACAAGTTATAGTGAATTAAAATAAATAAATGACTTGATAAAAACAAAGTTTTGAATTAACATTTCAGAATCAGACAAGATATTTTATGAAGAAATATTGTGAATTTGTTTTTATCTTAACTCCAAAATTTTGACTGGTAGTGTATATACACATTACTCTTGAAACTTTTATGTCAAAGCCATTTGAATTAAAAAAAAATTGTGTGTTTTGAATTTTGGAGGGAAGAGGGACTGCTCCCATAAGGTGTAACAGATTTCCAGTATTTACTGTATTCTATATATTTTTCTCGTGCTTCTATGGTCATAATTAATAAAATCCTAATGTTATGTTAAAATAGATTCACATAAACCTGCACAACCAGCAAATATCAATTAAAGCTGCTCAGTTTAATTCAAGAAAGAAGTTTGCTCAACAGCAAAAAAAATATACAAGGCAACTAATTGCATTCAACACCCCATATAGCAACATTGTTTTGGCCCAGATCCAGCCCACATCTGGCACTTGTGGGATGCGGATCTGGCCCCATGCAGCATGGAATGATGGGCCTTGGATCTGGGCCACAAGCAGGCCATGGCAATGCCACAATGTCAGCCAAGAGCAAAGAAATAAACCAGAACTGGACTTTATCTGAGCCTCTAAAATTGTAAGCCACCATTATGGAGATGAGTGTTTGCTTTAGTTGGGCTCTTGACCCTTATTATTAACTTTATATTTTAATTGGCTGTTGCATTTGAGTTATACCTGCCACCAGATGAACAAAGAAAAAAATATATATATATAATGGTGTTGGTTATGTTATTCATCATTTGAAATTTATGTTTGTGATTTATTTTGTTGGTTACTGCATACCTGAGATTCTGCACAAATATCCAGAATGTTAGATATAATATAATGGATTTCTTAAAAGTTGTTTAAAAATTATGGAAATGCATGGATCCAACCCCTTGTGAGAAGTTTTAATTCCGCTAGGTGGAAGCATTGATCAGTCTGAAATACCACTTCTGTTATGAAAGATGCTTCTGTTGTTTAGATTGGGTGCCGTGCCATAAGCGGACTCTCAACACCCCATGATTCATTACCGTTTTCTACATATTATAAAATAACACATGCAAACATCTCAATCTATAAATGTACAATGTTGTAGAGCGGTAAATATTGTCCACTTTTCTCCACTTCGCCAGAGAGGGCGCTCAAGTATTGGTACACAACTGAACGGTCCCGTCACGAGCACACAGCTGTAGTGACGCCACTTCCGTGACAATAGGGTCAGCGTGAGAGATTTATCAACAAAAACAAGAGCGACTTGTAACAGCCTGTCGATCAAAGTGCAGGATTTTAAGTGAAATGACGTGGATGAACTGACCGAGTCGGTGTGAATTAACGTTACAGCGTCTTTTCCTAAATCTCTTCGAGGTGCTGCTCATTCAATGTAAGACACTTTGTGATGATGGAGGGAATGTTTTCGTTTCAAGCTAGCTACAGATAAGCAGAAGTATGGTAATTTACTGGTGTTAAAAAATACAAAAATGGTGGGCACATCCCAAACACCCAGACTGGGCTCAGGTGCAGGACAACTAACATTAAGTGTTATAAACAAAAACAGAAATGAGAAGTCCGCACACTGAAAATTACTGATCCTAAGGATTTATTAAAAGGCAACGTTTCGACCCTCGGGTCTTCATCAGGAACAATGTAAATGTGTTAATTTACTGGTTTTGAATTACCTCTTGACATGACTTGCATTCTCATTTCGAGTCATTTAACATTTAACGTTTATTGGTCTGTTTTGGCGAGTAGTGCTACCAGCTTTGAAATATGTATTCTGAAGCAAAAGCTCTAATTAGATTCATATTTGATAATTATAAATTATCTGTTTGCATTCATAAAATCACAAATGAAGGTGTCTCACCTTTATAACTTTGCTATTGCTTATTGTCATGTGATGGTTTGGAAATGGTCGCGTGTTTTAAAATGTAGGAATGCAAGATACAGAGTTGGGTAAATTGATGTGAATATATCATTCATATGTATAGGCTATATTCACTTTAATCTACCCAACACTGTCCAAGACCACATACAACATACATTTTGTGTGTGTGTGTGTGTGTGTGTGTGTGTGTGTGTGTGTGTGTGTATATATATATATATATATATAAGGCAAGGATTGCATCGGGCAATTTATTGCAGATGCCTAAATAATTTGATGCATATCTAATCATGTAATTCATAAAATATAATTTTATCATTGATTGTATTCTTTATTTTCAGCCAAAGTAAAGTAAAGTTTAGGTAATTTGACACTGTATTTTCCTTAAGTCTGTAAACCTGCTATGTGATATAACTATTGTTAGGTTTTTCAGATGCATATTGAGTGTGTTGAATTAAACAGAAACTGGCTGAGTCAGATTAGTGTGCTTACAACTGAAGGTGAATCAGTTGTCTGTCCTTCTTGCTAACCTGGTGTCGTCTTTCTACAGAGTGCTGGTATCTCTGAAAAGTGTGGAGGACGCTGAGCAGTCTCTCTGCTGGTCTGCAGCCACGTTTATCCACTGAGCCTTGACTCTCAATGGATAATTAACTTTTTGTTGTAAAAGTAAAGATAATAAATATTTACAGCACTGCTGTAACTGTGGACTGTGAACCTGTGAGGATAAATCGCATAACAGGTGAGAGCCCTTCAAACTCAAGCTTCTCATATTTATACTAGTTAATTTAGGAAAAAACATATTCACCAGACATATTTAGTTATCAGTGGATTAACATATTTTATGGTATAAGCCAGTATTGCCGTGCTCAGTAAAGCTGCTGGTTTCATGTCAGCAAAGAACATGATTTATTTAGCCAGCAGATGGTTAAATCTAGGCCAGCTCTGTTTAAAAATGGAATTTTTTACCCAGAGGACTGCAGTTTCTGACTATATCTTTAACTGAACCGCTTGAGATTGTCTGGCACATGGGTCAAGGCATAACACCCATTATTGTGCTATTTAGGATCTAACTAAAATTGTAGTAAGAAAGTGTGTAGAAGAAATGTTCAACTAACTGAAATAAATAAGCTCTAAAAGACTAAATCTGAAAAAAAAAAAAATTACAGCTATATAAAATATATAAATAAAAACATTAACTAATTTGCACTAGTTGTATCATATGACTTTGATTTGGCAGATTTATATATGTATACAGTATATATAGTTGCTATACGTTATATATTGACAAAACTACTTTAATTCATGCAGGTTTGAAACAACTTGATGGTAAGTGATGACAGAATTTATTTTGGGGTGAACTATCCTTCTAATATTTGAAAAACTTTTATTGGCCAAATGGAAGTCATGTGGTTCAACAAACATGCAATAACAAAAATCAAGCCGGGAAATAATACATTTATGGCCCCTATAAATTCTTGGCCTTATGGCAAGGTCTATTAGTTTCTTTAAATATCAGATAATTTGACCATTTCATTGCAATGCAAGGCTAGTTCAGGGTCATTTGAACAAACGGGTTGTCCCACCTAAACTCACGCCATTGTTTGAGATAGAAGTTGAAATGTAGGGCTCCCCAGTCACCATTTTGAAAGCACTGTTTTAGGAAATCAATCTACAAATGGATTGCCTATCTCTGCACATTGAACTTGGAACTATTTAGAATTGGGAAAACAATACACACTTTTTTGATAGTTTTTTTTATCACACTTTTTTTTTTTAACATTTTGATAATTGTATATCCACAGCTGCATAAGGTGTGTGGCTTGGGACAGTGCAATGGAAGCTTCTGAGATTGAAGGCCGCACCTTTATGCAGGCGATCAGTGAGAAGTACAGCCCGGAGAACTTTCCTTGCCGTCGGGGTCCAGGCATGGGTGTCGTGGTTGTGCCATCTGGACCACAGGGATCACCTATGAAAGGTTGGGCTTGGGTTAATTTAAAAACAAGTTATGTAAGGTTCATTCCTTGGTGATTTTAGTGTTTACTTTGACAGCTCTATCCTGTTGCTGTGTTTCATAGTTCATTAATTGTGTGGTCAATCTGCCTTCAGACCGTCTGAACCTGCCCAGTGTTCTGGTTTTGAATGGCAGTGGAATCAGTCATGCAGGAGAGGAGGGAGAGATCGCTGCCTTCTGTGCTCATGTTGTGGAACTTGATCTGTCCCACAACAAGCTCCAAGACTGGTATGAGGTGAGGAAGTCAGTTGATCTGGGGATCTCATTGTTTCCTTATTTTATAATACAGATTCAAATGGCAAAAAAAAAAAAATTTTTAAAAGATTTAAAGGGATAGTTCACCCAACAATGAACATTCATCATTTACTCACCCTCTCATTGTTCTGTATACCATGGTCTGTCTGAATACTCGATTCTGTTGTGTAATAAAACTATGAATGCACAGGTAGTTCCAAGTCCATTTAATCACCGTTCTATAGGCTAACTAAGCGGATTTCTTTGAAGCACACACGCGTCACTCAGAGATTGTGTTGCGCACAACTTAACATAACATCACTGGTTTTGAAGTAACGAAATTCTAAGAATCGTTGTTAAAAGAGAGAGACGCTGAACAGACACAGGTAATTACACGCATCTCTCTCTATATATATAGATAATGAATTCAAATAAATGCATTGAAATAAATGTAATTTTATACAGTACTGATTCAAAGCAGGTAGAATGCTAGATCTAACGAGTCATAGGTGGTGAAAATAACCGCCATCTTTACCCTTCCGGTCAAATATTGCTCTGCAAACATTAATAACAGCTTTAAGTTGTCAATGCTGGCAAATGACCATGGTATAAGTGGGATAATCCACGGCTAGCTATGTATTAAATTATTTGTATGCACTTCGCATAATATATATTGCTGCATAATATCTTGTGGAAATTGTGCTAAAAAAAATTATTCTGGATTCTTGAATTTATTTGATCAAAATTACAGTTAAAAACAGTTTAAAATTAATATTGTGGAATAGTATTACAACAGTATTTGAATAGAAATTTTGTGTAACATTTTAAATGTCTTTACTGTCACTTTTGATCAATTTAAGGCATCCTTGCTTTCTTAAAAAAAAATTGAAGTGTAGTGTGTATATATTTTTACCTACCATTGTATAGCAAATGAATTTCGATTCTTTCAATTTTTTAACTTTTGTGTCCACTGGAAAAAAAAAACATAGCATAACAGGTTTAAAAATGACATGAAGAATGGTTAAATGATTTTAACCCTTGTTTTAACCCTTTAATTTGTTCCAGATCAGCAAGATTGTTTCTAACATCCCGAACCTGGCGTTTTTGAACCTCAGCTCTAATCAGCTAAAAGATGCAGTCTTAGATCCAGGCTGCGCTAAGGCCTTTTCTGGCATCCACCGCTTCGTTCTTAACAATACCCAAGTGTCCTGGGACACGGTGCACACTTTCACACAAGAAATGCCTGAGTGAGTCACTCCTAATGCTTCTGCATTATTGAAAAGAAAATAGACTGGCATCCTTTATAACAGATAGTGAAGGTATACTTGTGGCGCTTTTCCACTGCATAGTACGGTACGGTTCGGCTCAGTACGCTTCGACGCGGCGCGGAACAGTTCGGATCGCTTTTCGTTTCCACCGCAGTAGTACCCCTTCAAAGTGTGTGGGACTGATCGTTATTTGCGCACGCCTCTACTGCCATGACATCATCTTAAAAGCGCCACATTTTCAAACCCACAACACGGGAACAATGGAGACTATCGAGGGGATGGTGTTCCTGATTCTCGGTATGTGGTAGTTTTTTACTGCTAGACGGAAAAATGTGTTTAAAATGAGGCTAATGGCAGCAAAACAAAAATACTGCTAAAAAAAAAAAAGTGTATCGTGTCTCGTGTCGCAAATCCAATGACGCTAGTAGTGACGCAGGGAATGACGATTCTGTCTGACCAATCAGTGATCTGCAGTGTTTCACGTCACATTTTAGTACCGGTACGGTACGCTTGGAACCTCAACAGACCAGGTACCATTTAAAGCGACCTGAAGCGAACCGTACTGTACCGTACCATGCAGTGGAAAAGCACCACAAGTGAGACGTACCGAACCGAACCGTACTGTACTATGCAGTGGAAAAGCGCCTTTGGTGTATAGCAGGGTTCCTCAATTCCAGCCGGGCCACTGTCCTGCAGAGTTTATTTCACACCCTGATCAAACTCATCTGAAGATGGGTTTGATTAGGGTTGGAACTAAACTCTGCATTGGCCCTCTAGGACTGGATTTGAGGAACCCTGGTGTGTAGTATTGATTGCTTTAGCTAGTTTGAGATTTTAGAAATTATGGTCTTCCTTTTAAATCTTTTTTTTTGTACATAAATAGTATTTTAATGGCTGTGTACATTCAATCCTGTGAACAGAATTTGCATATTTTGATTATTGGGTATACTAGCAAAGGTTAATATGCGGTAATGTTAAAATATATATATTTTTCCCATACTGTTTATTATTGGACCTCCTCTTTTGCCAGTCTGACTCAAATGTCCTGATTTCTACAAAGCACCTCCTTCCATAAAGCTCAGAGTACTTCGATTGGCCATCTGGCCAGCTGACCAGTGCGTTGTGATTGGCCACACTTCAAGTGTGTAAACACCCCTTACCATAATTGCAAGCTTCAGATTCCAAGACTTCTAAAGCATTTTTAAACACAGTTAATAATAATGTCGTCGGTTTTACCGTATCAGTTCGAGCCCGAGTCAGGTTCTGAAAATGCGGATGATCAAGTTGATTGATCGGAACCAACTTTGTAAGCACGACTTGAGCAGGTTCTCAGTGGTAAGTAGTCTTTATTTATTGCCTGCGTTGTACTTTCATAGGTTTAGGAAGCTGTCCTCTGTTAGATGCGTAATGCACAAGCAAACTTTTGGGTTGTACTGCTCTGGAACAAATAAGTCTAACCTCTGATTGACCTCAGAAAGCAATAGCGGTTTTGCTTTCTCATCCAAACATGCCAACAACACTTAAATTCATTGAAACCCCGCCTTCTTTCTTTGCTCATGCCTTTGCCTGGCATTATGCTAATATTTTACTTTGTGACATGGACGTTTGAGGAAGTAATATCTGGATCGTGGTGTTAAAGGCAGGTCTGGAGTAGAATAAATCACTTTGTGGAAGACTATGAGCTTTGTAACTTCGTAGATCATATACATGCACAAACAGATATATTACACACTGAAGATAAAGGAAAACATTAAAAAAAAGCATCATATGATCCCTTTAAAGATCATGGCCATGGTCCATTTCGCCAGTTCTTTGCTTCATTTGTTTCACACCTGACCTAATGAAATGTCATCATTTAACATTTAGGGGAAAAGACTGCTTATCCCAAATATCATCTGATCCATGACATTTAATGACGGTATCCTTGGTATGAGAGCTCTCCACCAATATGGATTGGTTTTGTCCAGGCTTGAGGAGCTGTTCCTGTGCCTTAATGAGTACACCACTGTGACACCGGCTGCCATGCCCTGCCCCACACTGCGTCTGCTCCACATCACAGATAACAATCTCCATGAGTGGAATGAAGTTCGAAAATTTGGCTCCATGTTCCCTGCACTGGACACTTTGGTCATGGCCAACAACAACTTGAGCTCCATTCATGACTCGAGAGAAATCCTTCAGCGGCTCTTCCCTAACCTACGAAGCATCAATCTGCACAACTCAGGTATCATTTTGATAGTGACAGTGTTGAAAAATGCTGGAAGGGTCTAAATGATCATACCATGTGTGTAAGTGCTTAATTTAGCATTATTACTATTTTATTACAGTGTCATTTTTCTTATAATTTTGTGTGATTCAGGACTTAAGCAATGGGAGGACATTGAGAAGCTAAACTTTCTGCCAAAACTGGAGGAGGTGAGGTTGCAAGGCATTCCTCTACTTCAGGCTTACACGAGCATGGAGCGTCGCAGTCTAATGATAGCCCAGTAAGTCAAGTGTGTATAACAGGGTTAGTTCGCCCAAATATCTAAATTCTGCCCTTTGTGTCATTCCAATTTCCAAACCTATATGACTTAGTTAGATTCTTCTGTTGAAAACATAAAATAAAAGATATTTTGAAGAATGATGATAACCAAACAGTTCAGTGACAATTGACTTCCATTGTATTGATGTAAAAACGGTCATACTGGTCTGGAATGTCTTGAAGATAGAGTAAATAATTACAAAATTATTTTTGGGTGAACGATTTCTTTAGCTTCATTAGAAACTGATGGTTATTCTTTAGAAATGTTGATGAGATGATCTAATTGCACTCACCTGCAGGCTGCCATCAGTGACCAACCTGAATGGGAGTGTTGTTACGGATGGCGAGAGAGAGGACGCTGAGAGATTCTTCATCCGTTATCACTTGGGTTATTCAGAGGAGGATCTGCCTCACAGGTACATTTTAGACATGAAATCATCAGGGTGTATTGTGTGAATGGGTCAGGATGGCTGATTAGTCATCCACTAACCTTAGTCGATTAGGTTTCTTTTCCCCTCATTTTTAAAAGTATCTTAATGTACACTTCTAATCAAAAGTTTATGGTTAGTATGTATTTTGCATGTTTTCGAAAGAAGTCTCTTACGTATGTTCACCAAGGCTGCATTTATTTCATCAAAAATGCATTTGTGATGGCAAAGCAAAATTTTAAGCAGCCAGTACTCCAGTATTCAGCATCATCCATCACTCTAATATTTTTTTGATAAAGTTTTTTACTAGTCTAGTCATGTGTGTATTACCTGCAAATTTGTTTTTGTTTTAGCGAGTCCACCAGTGTAGGCCTATGTGTGTGAAAGGGGAGGGTCCGGGTGTGATTGGTCCTCTGCTCGTGTTACGAGTCATTGGTGTCTCACTGTCGTGTCACAGCTCAGTCAAAAATGGCGAAACGAACCATTGCAAGTTTGTACGACTGCATCCCACAGTACTACAAACCAACATATTATGCCCCAACTACAAAGTATGCCCCCTACAATAAAAACAGCCAATTAGCACCTCCCTCTAATCGCGGATGTCAGTACCGGTCTTCTACTTCACTTTCCTTGCTTTTTTTTAAGATTCTCTATTGCCACCTAGTGATAAGGCATACAGATCGTACTACATTGATTTGTAAGTTTGTTTTTCCTCCGTTTTTAAAAGTATTTTAATTATGAAACTCTGGTAAGGGTAAACAAGGTTTAGGGTTGAGGGTAACAGAGTATGCACTAATACTAAATTTCTCAGCTGATACAGATAGGTTGATTTTCTTAAAGTCCCTGTAAAGTCAATTCTACATAAAAAGTTCTAAACACATTATAAATGTTACATATGTATTGCTAAAACATATTACAAAGTCTGTGAACTGTGAAGTACTGAAATGTGGAGTTAGACCGTTAAACAGTTTTTCACCATTGCAATTTTACGGATTAATTGGGCGGGGCTAAAACAGGGCTCCGTGACGCACTGGAACCCATGAGCTGCTGGACACCCCCCTATTTGATGACGCACAGAGTCTGATCTCCCTCTCTCCACACACACTCCCCGAGCACATTCGCATTCACCTCTCAATCGCGAGTGACTGTCAGTACTATTAGTTACTACAGCTGAGCCTACAGTTTTCTAGCTAGCTATGCCTTCGACACAGACATGCATGGGCTACTACCTGGATGTGATCATGTACAAAACTGATCGGTATCTTCATTTAAATTCCCTTAAAAACGATCACATCAAGAAGAGGTTTTTAGAGAGCCTAACGTTACCTTGATGAAGAGGATTCACTGATAATTCACTGATAATCCGCTGTTACTGGTGAACGGGGCCGAAACGACGATTTCCCGCCTCAGCTTTCATCCTCCCGTCTCCAAAAGCTAATCAGCTAATATCACCGTCAACAGCTTTCCTGTGAGTGGGCGTGGTTTCAGCACAGCCAGCGGACACGCCCCCAGCGTTTGAGAGCAGAGAATCTGCTCATTTTTTCATGATTTTGATAGCTTAATTTATGTACTTCCCGACTTTTTTTATCATTCAAATTTGGCTGGGTGGCTAATTACACATTTTTCTGTGGTGTGACAAACTCAGAACACATACTTAATTTTGACTTTACAGGGACTTTAAGGATAAAAATGCTGCAAACTGTACAGGGAACCCTCTAATTTGGTACATTACTATAATATTAGAGATTAAAATGAACAATGGAGGTATTTTTTTCGACTGCTCTTTATTTTCAGATATAATTACTCAAATTAAAACTCAAATGGGTATTATTTTGGCTTGACCATGTAGTGGAAAGCTGAAAACAGATTATGTATTTGTATGTTGTTTTGAAGATATCACTGTTTGGTGACCAAATATGGGAAACTGGCTCCTCTGGCTGAGATCGACCTGCGACCGCGTTGCCACGCCAAAGTGGAGGTGCGCTATGAAGACAAAGTGGAGCAGGTGAGCATCCGTTTGGACCAGACTGTCGCAGAGCTGAAGAAGCAGCTGAAGACTGTGGTGCAGCTGCCCACCAGCAAAATGCGCCTTTACTACATCGACAAGGGCACTGCCTTCGGCCCCGATGAGTTGAAGTACAGCGCACTGGCCTTGCACTCCTATAGCATTCAAGACGGGGATGAGATCCTGGTAGTTCCCAAAAAAAAATAAGTCTTTCCCCAAGATCACCGAATGCTATATTTAAATAACCAAATCAGCTTTGAACTAGCGCTATCTAAGCTCCACAGAGTGATTGGGACTGTCTTTTAGGGGAAAACTCCTAGAACGGGCTGGGGCTTCAGTTGTACTCAAGCGGCACTTCATGTGTCATGTCACTACGCGGTCATAAGAAACACACTGAATGGTGTGCACCTCTGGTTTCGTTGCTGTTATTAAAGGTTGCGTTTTTGTCTTTAGACTTCACGAGCACCCCTGTATTTTCAAAGGCCCGTTTATTTTTAAGTAAAGCACAGCTAAGGGCTCTGGCAGCCCGGGATGTGCTTTTTACAGATCTTAAGACAATCACCTAGAGCTGAAAGAAAACGTTGCACTGCACTGATGATCATGAATAATCATTGCGTGCTGATGTGTGTCGTATGCTGTGTCATCCAGTAATTACACGCAAAAGACTCTCAGGCCTTTTATGCTGTAGATGGGCAGTGCTTGATTCACATTAGGAAATATTTGCGAAACATCTTATTCACAAATATTTTTTAAATATTCAGTTCATTTGAGCCTTTTTAGAATCTGATTGATTGATCAAGAGGAGAATTGCGAAGCCGCATGCCTGTACAATTTAATTGTGGTATTTATTTTGTTCCTTTTTAATGTCTAATCTCTATTAGTACTTTCTCGGTTGGTTTGGAAGTGAGTGCTCAAATTTGTAACTCTTAAGACAAAGCATACGCTGGTAAAAGTGCTTGTTCTTATTTCACTGATGTCCATATTATGGAGTGTGTTGATTTTGACTTTTTATTTTCAGAATAAATAGATCTGTAAAAAGTCAACACAGTCCACCAAAGATTGTTAACATTATTATTATGTGCCGTATTTAGTGTGATTTAACTGATTGGTGTATTTATTAATGACCAAACAAATCAGTAGTAAACCAATCATGGTTTAAGACTGTATCTGGCCAGTATAAAATAATGTGTTAAATTAAAGGCATAGTTCCCTCAAAAATCAAACTTCTGTAAACATTTAGGTAACACTTTACTTGACGGGGTGTGCATAAGACTAACATGACACGTGTTATGAATATGTTTATGACAACAGTTCACTCAATTATGACATTTTTAATGCAAATATGACATTGTTTGAGATGTCTTGGTTATGGCACCTTGACATAAACCAATACATAACCTGTCAGTGTCTTTGTCATGACAACTTGACATTACTAAGACAACACAACCTGTCATAAACATGACATAGCAGATTAATTTTCACACCTAGTTTAATTGGTTAACATTACATTAAACTGTCAGGTGGTTGGTTTTGACATTGGCTGTCATGAAGCCATTATAACATTTTAATGACAAATTCAATTTGTACCACTGTAGTTGAGATCACGAAAAATATTCATGACACAGTTATAATGGCCTCAAGGCAACCACAATGACAGTTTAACTTAATTTTATGTCAAGATGTCATAACAAAGACGTCTTAAACAATGTCATATTTGCATTCAAAATGTCATTAATGAGCGTAAGACTCTTAATGACAGTTGTCATGAACATGCATAAACCCTATTTGATATTCATGACATATGTCATGTCATGGTTATGAAGGTGTCATGCCAGTCTTATGCACACCCCTTCAAGTAAAGTGTTACCAACATGGTATAATGACGTTTTAAACCTGACTGTATGACTTACTTTATTCTGTGGAAAATAAAAGAAGATATTTTGAGAAGTCAATGGTAAATCAAAACTGTTTGGTTACCAACATTCTTCAAAGTATCTCCTTTTGTGTTCCTGCACAAGAAAAAAAAGTCATACAGGTTTGGGATGACATGAGAGAGTGTAAATGATGACTGAATTTTAATTTCTTTGTAATCTATCAATTAAACTGCAGCTTGACTAAAATGTGTGTTGAAATGTGCAACGCAAGACTGTTTCCGATGCCGAAAGTAGTATGTTTATTCTGAGATACAGTATGAAACCAGCAAATTATTTATTTATACCTGGTACTTTGATCAAATCAGTGCATGGACCAATTTACATGCTTGTCAAACTTAATTCAACAAAATCCCCCGTTTAGCAACTAAAAGTGGCATAAAACCTATTTTGTTGCCATTTTATTTCACATATACAGTATATAGCATGACTCGAAGGATGGACTGAATGGAAAAGCACTGAGATCATTTCGGCGTAACTGTCAGTTTCCTGTGTTATACTGACACGTATTGCCAATTGTTAGGTAGTAGATTACATTTTCTACTATGTACCGATATATAAAAGTGTATAAAAAGATGTTTGAGAATGTTGAAGGCTTTTTCTCAATAAACATTTCAGGTTTTAGACATAAATAATTACGTATACTCTTCATTAAGATGTGATCTTTATCATTTTATAATCAAACAGAGATTTAATAGAGACTTATATGTGTATAACTTATACTGAAGTGGAACGTATAATATTAAAATCAGATCTCTTATAGTTGTAGAAGTAATTTAAGGGTTATTGTTTGATCGGGGGATGAAAGATGATGAAGATTATATATATATATATATATATAATATGAAGGTTCTAAAATGCCTTGTATCACTCTCAATGCCTTTACCTGTGACCCCCTAATTAAACATTAAAGCAGAATGAAGCACTGTCTCTGTCTAGAAAATTCCCTTTTAGAATATCAATATTTGATGTTCTGTGGCCACACAGGACATGCTATTGATATTATGCATTCTCTTTTGCATAATTATTTTATGTTATTTTCCTATCCATTATTAATATTCCAGTTTTACTACCATGAAGGTAATGCCACTTAAACAGTGACTGACACGTACGGAGGGTGAAGATGAAAATTGTTAAATTTACCACTGAAGACGATGTTTACCAAGTGGGATTCACTGCATTTACTTTTCAATCTGTGACAGTACACTATTTTTTGTCTATTTGTAATTTTACATTTATTTTTCTCTATTTGTTTGGGTGTTTTGTGCTGAGTGTAGTTTAAAAAAAAATGTGTCTCTCTCAATTTACATTAACTGTTGTACATTAGCAGTTTAAGTTTAAGTTAATTTGTTAGGTGCGTAAAAGGCTGTTATAGGCGTCAAAGGGATGTGAATTCCAGCAAGTCGTTTTTCTAATGGATCCATTAGGCCTGTTATTGTAATGAATACATATACTTCGAGTTTAGTTGCACACCATCACACCATTATTGTATTATTATTCTGTATCCGATTGTAAGTGTTTTATTCCATTGATTTAGCAACATGTGTGCACACTTATGTATCTACTGTATGTTTGAGAGTTGAATGGCTTAAAGGATTAGGGAAAATAAACTTTTACTGGCGGCCATTACAGTGTTATTTTGTGTAATATTATAATATTTCTTAATATTTTGAATTTGTTTTCTTGTATATTTTCAGTTTGTCATTTTAATTTGAGTAATTTTGTAATTGGCTTTTCTAATTTTTATTATAGTTATTTCTGTTTAGCTTTAATTTTTTATTTACATTTACTTCAATTTATACTTATTTAATTTTGTTTAATATTTATTTTATTTTACTATTTCAGCATTATTTCAAGAAACATTGTTTAATATATGTTAAAGTGTTGTTTAATAGTTTTTAGGGTCACACTTAAAGTTTAGGGTCCAATTTTCACTATTAACTAACTATTAGCTGTGACTTTTGCCTCAATCAACTCCTTATTATGGCTTATAAATAGTTGTTAAGTTTGGATATTGGGTAGTATTTGGGGGGTTTAGAATATGTAGAATATTATTCGTGTGACACTAACTATTCGCCCCAATGGAAAGCATATTGACACTGTCTGAATTGTTCCCTGTCCCCTATAAAGTGCATTATGTGTCATGAAAATTGTAAATGTTCGTGAGAACAAATGACCAATTTTAGCCGCAGCTTCAGCATCTACAGTATTTATAATGTAGGAGGCGGGATGCTTCAGATTTTAGAGAGCATTTGATTGAACAGAAAATCTCATGAGAAGCTAAAGTGCAGAGTGATGTCATTAAAATGATGGATATTGCCGGAAGTGAAAGACTGTACGCCTTTAAAGGGTTAGTTCACCCAAAAATGAAAATTAAGTCATTAATTACTCACCCCCATGCTGTACCAACCCCGTAAGACCTTCGTTCGTCTTCGGAACACAAATGAAGATATTTTTGATTAAATTTGAGAGCTGGATAACTACCACATTGGCTCCTAAGGGACTGCCTCTTGACGGCCCAGAAAGTCAATGAAGAAAATGTTTAAATATCCCAAGTGACTACCGTGGCTCAACTATATGTTTATCAAGCGACGCGAATACTTTTTGTGCGAAAAAACAAACAAAAATAACGAGTTTATTCGACTACTTCTTTTCTTCCTTGTAGGCCAGAACGAGACTTCCTTATAGATTTCCACGACGCATGCACGAGAATTGCGATCTGAAGTGGTGTAAGCTGATGTGAGCAGATCGCAAATCTCGCGCATGCGTCGTGGAAATCTATAAGGAAGTCTCGTTCTGGCCTACAAGGAAGAAAAGAAGTAGTCGAATAAACTCGTTATTTTTGTTTGTTTTTTCGCACAAAAAGTATTCGCGTCGCTTGATAAACATATAGTTGAGCCACGGTAGTCACTTGGGATATTTAAACATTTTCTTCATTGACTTTCTGGGCCGTCAAGAGGCAGTCCCTTAGGAGCCAATGTGGTAGTTATCCAGCTCTCAAATTTAATCAAAAATATCTTCATTTGTGTTCCGAAGACGAACGAAGGTCTTACGGGGTTGGTACAGCATGGGGGTGAGTAATTAATGACTTAATTTTCATTTTTGGGTGAACTAACCCTTTAATGCTTATATCTTCTAAATGTGAATTTTGTCATTGTTTTTGGAGCACACAAGCTTATAGATAAAGTCTGCTAAATGAATAAATGTAAATGCAGTTAACAGTAAGGCTACTATACTAAAAGCCTAATCTGTGTATCATTCCTAACATCTCCTTTTGTGTTCCACGGGAGAAAGTAATGCAGGTTTAGAACAATGACATTTTCATTTTTGACTGAACTACATTTAAATTGGACCAAGCATTATTACTACTACCATTAGCACTACTAATCTCAAAAGTGTTTGTTCCCGTCGCCATGGGGACTGAGTGGGCGGTGGCATTGAGTTGACGTTCGAGAGCAGGACCCACCAATCAGTTGAAAGAAAAGCTCGCCGACGTCACCGTTAAAGTGAGAGACCGTTTTTTGTCTGGAAGTCAAGAGCTTGTAATATTACAAGAACAGAAACAACTAAAATGTCTCAGATATTATTTGTACTGTCTTGAAGAGCATCAGTGAACTATCGTGTATCGGTTGGAAGAGTTCAAAGTGGCTTGCGTGGAGGACTCACTTACTGTGGGCTTTCCCTTGAAGGAGCGAGGGGAGAGGAGGATGGTCTCGCTCACTCCGGTGAGTAATGCATGAATGCTCGCAATGCACATTCTTGCTTTGCCGTTCCCACTAATTTACTCGCACAATTCGGAAGCTTCCAGACGTTTCACGAATTACATAATTCGGCCGGCGAGTTGTGTTGCGTATAAATGAATGAAATTCGGTTTTTATTTCTCCAGAACCAGTCCCGCAGATTTAACGTTAATATATTCATGTGAATGGGAAGTATTTTTTGTGTCTTCAATAAATCTCAGTCGGGTGTATTCACTCTCTCTCTCCTTATTTAGCAAATATAAATATATACTTGACATTCATTCCAAGACAAGTGCTCATGTTATGCTTTCGGTTCGAGTACAATATGTTACTTGGTGAAGTTTCGTGATGTAACGTTGCACACTGCAGCCATCAACGCGCACTCAATCACGTGACAGGCTGCTCTAGTACGAGAGACTGGGCAGTGTAACGTTTTGTTATTGTAACTCGTGTTTTTTCCTTTATTTATTTATTTATTTATTTTATTATTATTCCTAATTGAATTTGTTTATACATCTAAAACATATTAATAAACGATGTAAATTAGTGTCATAATAATATTTTTTCACCCAGATATGGAGGTTAAACTGATGGTGTTAAAGCTCATTACTCCCGATCTTCCCCATTAAACTCCTTGTTAGATTTCTTCAAAACCACAATCTCAACTGTATTTTTTTTTAACTGAATGGCTACTAGTTAAGATAATGATAATTGATGAGTTACATAAGCTATAAAACCTTGTTTCATTTGTGTTACATTAAGTGTGGGTGGTTACTTTTGAAGGTTACAATCTCCCATAATTACTGAACTATTAAACTCTTCCATCATTGCTTAATTCTCACTCCCAGTCCCATCCCATATTTATCCTGACTGGCTTTTCTTGACCTTTGTCATGTAGATATACCCGTTTTACTTGTGGTATTACTGAGGTAGCCTATTAAGCCCAGTTAAACAAGACATCAAAAACTCAAAGATGTAACTTTAGCCTAACTGTTGTATCTAATTTAAGTATCAAAATAAAGATGTAGCATTTTTAATTTAATATAACCATAGAAATACAAGATTAAAAAAAATGAAATCTATGAACTAAATATTTCAACTATTTTATATAAAATATTGTTTACTTATTTTTATATGGATATAACCATTTAATTATATACTTACTATAAAAAATGTGAAAAATCTTTAAAGAAATAATTCTTTAAAATGATTTATTATGTTTATAAAAATGCATTTTAACTACATGTAATCATTATAATAATATTGTAAAACCAGTCTTGCCCATAAAAAGTCTTAATGCGATTCCTTTGAGTACAAATTGGAATGCAGGAGTGTTGAATGACCCACGGAGGTCATAGGCAATCGCTATATTTACCAGCTCAGTAATATGATCTCTAGCATTCTGGATCACTGTACTCATGCGATCCGTCCCTGGTCCTCTCACTCTGGGACTACAGCCTTTAAAGCAACACACTGTCCATGGAAAATGCTGCCGGTGAGCCTCTTCTCCAATATACTTGCTCTTTTCTTTAACTTTAAGCTGTTTTAACTGGTATTCAATGCTATGAGGTCTGTGGAAGAGAGCGCATGACATTCTCAACTCAAGTCATCTATCATTATGTTCTCGATCGTTAGCCATAACCAGAATCTGGATTGTAATGGAAATCTGGCCTTTTAAACTGATGCCTGGAAATTCTGAATGTTAGTTAACTTAACTTAGATGCTCTCATAAGTGGTTTATTTACCTTAGTACCTTAGGAAAGACTTTACATTTATTGTGTCCCATATTCTTTATAAAGGCCTATTTCATTCATATTTGTCTAGTGCTCTTTTATTAATATGTTTAAATAGTTTGTTGTTATTTTTTGTCTCTTTAGGTTTGAGCAGTGAATAATGGAATAATGAACAGCCACCTCTGTTTTTCCGTCCGCTAGAACCGAGAACGGCTCTACTTACAGTAGGTACCCCTGAACCTAACACCCACCTGCTAGTGGAGCGCACTCTGCACACATGATACCGAAAGAGAGCCGTGGCACTTAAAAACAACATTCAGGGTTGCAGTTTGTCTCTGGTGATTTTTTAGAATGTGTTAATCCAATCCAAGTTATTGGGTTCATTCTTTGAAATTGAAAAACACCAAAGCTGTTTTGTATATCTACACTCTTGATTTGCAGTTGTAGTTGTACACGTTAATCCCCATGTCATCTCCTTTTCATTGACAGAGGCACTAATGTCAGTCTGTTCCAAAATCTGTGTTCCACGTTCTTAATTCAGGTTGTTTACGTTTACTGTAAATGATTTGAAAACCTAAAATGATTTGTTTAAATTTGTAGTCTAATCTTTCCAGAATGAATAAGCTTTAAAAACCCATGCTGGGCCTGTACACATTTGTTTTGCGTGAAGGTCCTGTGTTTTATGACTGGATAGATAGAGATATTAAATGTAGATTTTGAGTTTGAGTATTGTTGAGAGGCGAGTCTTGCCAGATTGCGTTTTGGTCAAGCGGTGGGGGTGGGTCGGGGCGATGAGGGCTGAGGCGTCAGTTTGGTCACTGAGCTCTTATCTGCTCACATTTCAGGGTAAATATAGCTGTACCCAAGACTTTGCCTCAAGTCTCTTTATCATATTGTTTATGTTGCTAACAAAAGCACGAGTTTCTAAATTACTGAAGTATGAATGATATTGTGTCACAATTAATAGAAATAAAAACACAATGACCTTTTCATTTTTTTACTCTGAGGTAGAAACTGGCTTTCGTTGCTTTCCAAATGTGGAAGAGCTAAAAGTAGGTAATCTGACGTGTTTAATGTGAATGTTAAGGAGCAGTGGTGTTGTGCATGTAATGACAGCACATCTATCAGCGTGAATGCAAGTGTGGATGTCTGTCAGGCATCACAGGCTGAAAATTCCCCACCTGTCACATGTTCCCAGTCAGAGACACTCCCAAAGCTTAGACACTGACCACTGACTAAACCCCCATTTCAGAATGGACTTGACTTCCTTCATGCTGATCCAGTGCTCTATGGGAAATGTATGTCTTGTAATAAATCTGTGCCATTTTGGGTCAATTATAGAGTTCTTTTTTATTCATCGTATCAGCTGGTTTTTGATATTAAGTTCTGCATGCTAATAATTTCCCCTATTTTTACATTTTTACATCTTTGCTGTCTAATCTAAGGCTCAAAATTAATCTTTAACAACATTAAAATGTTATAACACTGTTAATATAATCTCTAAATGAACACTTAGCTATTTTTCATACAGTATATTGTTATGTTGTGATGTCCAAATTTAAAACAATTTCAAAAAATTGATTTTAGCTTTTAGTGTATTTACGTGTTTATTAGATGAAGGCACATCTACAACAACAACAATATAATATTCTACTAAACAGATTGTATAATTCTGTTAAGAATATTTATTTATTATGAAAGTTTCTTTATTTTGTAATTAATTTTTCATTTCAAATATTTATGATGACGGGCAACAGAGCCTGCTTCTATGAATTAACTAAACACATAAGCTGAAGCGTATTTATATTTATTGAGTGACAAAATATTGTCAGTAAGATTTTTTTCTAAAAAAATAATACTTTTATTTATCAATGTTGCATTAAACTGGTCAAAAGTGGCAGTAAATACTTCTATTCAGGAAGATTATTTGGAACTTTCTTTTTTTTTCTTTCTTTTTTCTTTCTTCAACTATCTCTTTTTAGACTTTTTAGGTTCCTCTAAATCAATTTGTAGGGTTCTTGTGGCTATTGTTAGTGTAGGCAAAGAAAGAGAACACAATGTGAAAGCAGCGGAAAACTGTCTTAAGTTCCCGTCTGGTAAAAGCATGTTAGCGTCGGTATGCCATGTGTTTTGGACTGCTTCCAGTGTGCTGCCTACCCCAGATCTACATGTTGAATTATTGATGCATCTGTGAACGCTGTACTCAGAAAGAGAGAGAGAGAAAGAGAGAGAGTGCTCAGAGAGACATATTAAAGAAACAAGAGCCAACTCTCTGAACCCAACACGGATCAACAACACCAGATACTTTTATTTATTCAGACGCTGCACTGCCTTGTGAACAAGAGCCCGTCTCTCCACAAGAACAAACTGTGCCACCTTAAAGGGATATTTCACCCTAGAACGAAAATTCGGTTATCATTTACTCACCCTATTGTTGTTCCAAGCTTTCTGTCTTCTGCTAAACACTAGAGAATATATTTTGAAGAATGTCTGTAACGTCCATAGTACTTTAGTATTATGGAAGTCAATGGAGCTCATTAACTACTTTCTACCCTTCAAAAGAAAGAAATTCATACAGGTTTGGATCAACTTGAGGGTGAGTAAATTATGACAGAATTTTCATTTTTGGGAGAACTGTCCCTTTAACACACATGGCCTGGCTCTGGGAGCTCTCGTTTTATTCAAACAGTGGGGTCTTCAGTGCTCCACTCGGGCTGTAGCACCAAACCAGGCCTCTATGAAAACAATGGGACTCATTTTGTTCCGCAGCTTCATTCAGAGTCCTGTGCTAGCAGCGAAGCCCCATAGGTTGTGTAATACGTACCCCTCGCAGTGTGTGCTGTGTTTAGACAAGAGTCACATGCTGCTATTCATCGAATATGTTTTCAGGATCCAGAACACAAGAGACCTCAGGGAATGACACAGTCATTCAAAATTCATAACAGGTCGTGTTTATATTCTACCATTTTTTACTAAAATTGCCCAACTGAAGAGGGACGGTCTTCTCTTCAGGCTGAAGTACACACGTAATGAAATTGCCACAGAAAGTGAGTTCAAAGGGATTTCGAAGAATCTTGAAACTTGTTGTAAACGCTAAAATGATTAATGTCTCACCAGTCAGCGTAGATGTCAGATGGTGCCACTTCGACAAGTGTATAAACTTTTGACAAGTGTATGACAAGTGTATTTTAATTTCACATAGAATACATATAAAAATAACTTTTATTTATAGATAGTAGCAGATTTGAATGCACAATATAGATAGAGTATCTGTGCCATTTTTGGTCGATTATAGACCATTTTGGTCCAGAAGTACTTCCTGTTTCAGTTTTTTAACACTACATAAAAGCTGGGATAAAATACTACCAACAGAACATATAAAACTGAATCAAAAAGTTAAACAAACATCTTTAAGATGTTTTCTTTACATGTGAAATAAAGAAAACAGTGACAAACTGAAACAGGAAGTGTTTCTGGACCAGTGTTGTTTACATCTTGCAAAATGGTCTATAGAGTTATTTTATATATATATATATATATATCATATCGGCTGGTATTGGATATTAAATTGTGCATGCTAATAATTTCCCCTATTTTTACATTAAGATTTTCTTTGTCTAATCTAAGGCTCAAAATTAATAATAATTTAATAATACTGTTAATATAATCTCTAAACGAATACTTATTTTTCATACAGTATATTGTAATGTTGTGATGTCCAAATTCAAAACAATGTAAAATAAATGATTTTAGCTTTTAGTGTATTTACGTGTTTATTAGATGAAGGCAGATCTGAATGTGAGCTTGCAAGTAATTTATGAAAGAGGAAGTGTTTAGGCAAACTAAATGATTGGAGAAGTCCAGCATACATCACCAGAGAGAAGTCTGTCATTTCACCACAAGATCGAGTTATGATTAAATTATGATATTTTGATTAAATATTACAAGGTCAAAAAAAAAGAAGACATATGCATGGCTGAATTGTTCACAATAAGATATCAAGTATTTAGAAGATTGATAGGGTGAACTTTTTAATTCAAGCTGAATTTAACATGAAAATAATGATGGGTTTATCTGTATTGGCCAGAGTTTTGCTGAAAAAGACACATTTTCTTATTCCACTTATTCACAGATTCCATGCGGCCTGAAATCGCTTCACCTCCGGCTGAGCTCCCAGCATGTCTCGTGTCTCCTCTACGGCGAAGCGCTATGCCGGCTCTTCTTATACCAATCACTACAGCTCATATGGCTCCTCCTTGACCCCGTCTCTGAGCTCCTACGAGAGGGACAAGCTGCCCTACAAGAGCTCCTCCTCAGGCTACTCCTCCAGCTACCTGAGCTCGAGCGCCAGCCGCTCCCGCAACTACAGCACATCGTCCGAGCCGGACCGGGGTCGGCCTATCCCTCGCACAGATTTGCTGGCCGGCCGGCGCAGTGAGAGCCTGAGCCGCACGCCGGCAAAGGGCTATGGCTCAGGCCTCAATGGGGGCTCAGGATACAGCAGCTACAGCTACTCTCCGGCCTCCACCAGCTACCTCTCCACCTCACCCGTGTCCTCCAGCATCTCGCTCAGTCGCAGGAAGTCGGTGAGTCAGAGCGATTTGACGCACGATCTGTCAGCTCTGAGCCTCAGCGAGACCTCCAGCGGCAGTGGCCTGAAGCAGTCCTACCAGAGCCGAGGCACTGACGCGTCTGACTCCTACAGCAGCGCTCGCTCCAGCTATGGCCTCTCGCGGAGCTCCACGCAGGATGCTCTTGGCAGCAGCGGCCTGAAGAGCAGCAGCTATCGCAGCTATCGCTCCACGTCACCAGTCAGAGAGGTAAGAGCATGTTACAAAATTCTTGCTAAAAACGTTTTGTGTTTTTATGTTTCCATAACATGCTAATGTTAGGCTTGTGTTTAGTGTTACACAAGAGCCATTTCTCTCAGAGAGTTTGTGCTGAAAGGCTTCAAAACTAAGGAATGTGAAGCACTCAGCTGTGTTTCAAGTGTCTCTTGTCATATAAGTGAAAAATCTCAGGAAGCTGCAGATAAAATGATTGATGTGGTCACATATATTTGCTTACTACTAGTATTTAGTATGTTTACTGTGATTTGGTGAAAGGAATGTGAAGGCCAAGTACCCTTTACTTGGAATTTGTCCTCTGCATGTAACCTATCCAAATTATTGCACACACACTTGGAGTGGCGAGTAGTGAACGCGCACACTGCAAAGCACACACCCGAGGCATTTCCTGCTGGTATTGAATTTGAGACCCGAACCCGCAACTTTCGGGTTTGCCAGTCTGAATAACCATTGGGCCACACACATTACAGGGCATGTTATTCTGAACATAACCTATGCTGCTGAATTTATTCAACCCTGCTGGATTAATAGATCTTCTAAAGATGAATTGAGTTGTCTGCTTACATTATACCATGCTAATAAGGCGCTTTGGAATACACTCTGGGGCTATTCTTTTAAATGAATTGCTGTTTATGTCATTCATTTTGCTACTTCTCAACTAGTATTAATCTCTAGACTAGGCCTACATTAGTTTACAATGAGAGTTTCGAACTAATCAGCTCAACAAGTGCAAGTCTGAATGCTTTTGTCAACTCGATTTAATTTCTGCACTAATGCTTCAGATATCCTGGCCATTTTATGCCTTGTTACTCCAGGCTATTGTAGACTAATGCAAGAATTGGAGGATATGCTCTATGATACTTCCATTGCTTCCCTAAAGCGTTCAAGACAGCCAGACTATCGCCAAGCTGACCATTATTTATTACTGTTGTAAAGGAGGAAAATATTTGGTTTTTGCTATTTTTGATTGGTAGGATATAGGATGAAAAGGCTTTAGATTTAAGTGGTGCATTCTCAGTGTTGCCACAAGAGGTGCTATAAGGCCATTAGTGTAAACTGTCTTCTTTTATGCTCTGTGTTATTTTAGATCTTGCAAATGACTTTTTAAACTCTTTTTAACCTTCTTGATAAAAATACAAATTTTAACCACACTTATTGTGGTTAGATGAATTTGAACATTTTAATTTCAATCCTAGTTCCTGTTTGCTACTTCAGTACAAATTCAAGACTCTACAGTAATTAAATTTTTTAATATACTATAAAAAATAAAAAGACATTCTTCATTCAATTCTGAATAATGCACGACCCCGAACTACTGAGATGGTTAAAGTTTGTAAAACTTGTATTGTTTATTTAGGTTTATTATTATTGTAACGCATCCGATGTAGTGACACTGACATCTGAATGTAATTGTGTCAGCCTTGAGTACTAAAGTTTGTAACCACCACAGTAATGCAAGAACACACTATAGGCTTACAGGATTGTCTGTGTTTTTTATTCAAAGTATTTTTACTGGCCAAATCAGTTTTATCGGTGTCAGGAAGAACACAAGCTGCAGCGGGGTTACGATTGGCCCTGTTTCCGTGTGTCATTAATCTTATCTTCTTCTGGTCTCCCAGCCGATGGTTGGTTAGTGTTACCGAGAGTCTTTGCATGGCTGGGCCAGCATTAACACAGTTTTCCCCACCACAATCTGACTCCTTTCATTCAGTCTTTTTATTAATGATGCCAGTTCTTCACAAACAGAGACACTTTTTACTTTTTAAACCTAGTAGTAAACAATTCCTGTCACGTTTTCTACTTATTCATTGTGCCAAGATGTTTTATATAACAGGTCTGTTAGTATGTAGGCTGATCCACACCATTAAGTAACCTATTTTTTAAGCGTACTGTGTCCTGAAAACTTTTCACATCTGGCTTGAGGTTTACTCACTGCAGAGTTGAATTTCACTTACTCTGTTTTAATCACCACATGTCCTCTTTTATCACGACATGAGAGCATCCGAAATTTGTGCTGCTGTTTTAACGGGCCACCTGCTATTTTTAAGGGTCTTCACTCATTTCTAGGGTTGGGAACCGAGAACCGGTTCTTTTCCAGAACCGGTTGTGTTTTTGAAAAAATACCGGAACCGTGCAAAATTCCTAAGTTTCGGTTCCGAAAACGGTTCTGATGCCGATGCGATATCATCATGTGGGCGAAGTGCTGGGAGTAGAAGACGCCGTCTTATTCATAAATGACTAAAACTTCACCACTGAAGTTGCGATTTGCTCTCACACCCGCTGCATTTGTCACACACAGACACACGCACGCTGCGCGCGCCGACCGCAGAGTCACTCTCTAGCCTACATTCAAATCTGTTTGCGCTGAGAGAGAGAGAGCAGTTGTCGATATGAAACTGCTTTACAATCACAGTCTCAATATTTATTTGTTTCACATATTCAAATGATTTCCGTTACAGAATTAGTGAGATTATAGTTTGAGTAAACATTGACGGTAGTGGTCAAAACAGATGCAGTCCGTATATTTTTTGTGTTCAGAACTTACAAAATATATACAATGAGCGAGTGCATCATAATGTTTTTTTTTTTTTTTTCAAACCGTGTTTTTGTCTTATCTTGAATCACTACGTAAAGCCTGTAATAAGCGTTAATACTCGGACTTCTTGTTTAGACTGGCCGGCGGATCGCAGCTGCTGCGGTAGCCCAATGCCTGCGTGACTCGTCATGGACATAAACAGAGAGAAGTAGCTCCGGCAACAATGTTCTTCCGCAAGACGCATGCAGTTCTGTTTATTAACTGCTAGAGCGCCGATTTATCCAGTAATGAAATAAGTAAAGTCTTAATTAATCAATCATTCAAACCGTTTAAAAAAAATAATCTGTTCTACACACATATGTGTGTTAAAGCACATTCTACTCCTTCTGAGAGGGTATTCTTCACTGTTGGAGATACAATAAAGGAGAGGTCTAAATTATTATAGAGAATGCAGAATTTTTTTTATTTCCTTTATATATATATATATATATATACACATTTTTTTTTTGCAAAGATTGCTTAATAATATTTTGAGTTTGTTTACATTACCAGTCTGTTAAACTAATTTGTCAAGTACTATAAGAAATAAACACAAAAAGGATTGTAGATTTTTCTCTTACTAATATTTTTAATTGAATGGGAACCGGAACCGGAACCGGAATCGTTTGGCGGAACCGGAATCGGAACCGGAACCGGAAAATTTCTCACGATTCCCAACCCTACTCATTTCAGTAGTTTGTATTAAATTAAACTTTAATGGTGCCCTGATGCACATCAAGTATTTGGGCTGAAAGCCAAGATGTAAATCTGGCACTCATTCAAAGTGTCCAATTACACATTTCAAGAAATGGTTTGCCTTTACCTTTTCACCCTTGTGGTGTTCTGTAGCGTATTGAGGAAATGTTGTCTTTGCTGTTTGTTGTGTAAACACTTATAAGACTGGAAGGGACAGAGTGATCCTTCTCTCTCTCTCTCTCTCTCTCTCTGAAATGGCACTTCAGTAGCAAATCACCTTACTTCCTGTTTCTATATAAACAGATTTAACATGCTCAGCATTCTGTGTTTTTTTTTACTAGTAAACCTGCTTCTGTGAAATATGGCATGATTAAGACAGATAAAGATTTTTGCATCATAAAAAATTGATTCATTAAACAACATAGCAACTGCTTGAGTTTGTCCAAAAGGGACAAATAGTGTGGCCTTCAAAGGTGACATTGTTCTTATTTAGGTAACTTTCATGCTACATTACATACAGTTAAAATGTTTTTGGCATATCTAGAACTGGGCTGCAGCTGATGACATTTGACCGACCATCTCAGAAGAGCATAATGGCCTCAGTCTGGTGTTCTCTCTGGGGTTTTAGTGTGTTCCATGCCCTGTTCCAATTTCTCTACCACTTCTACTACAGGCAAAGTTTAATGCTTCTCTTTAATACTTTAGTGAGGGCGACTGCTGAGCTCAGTTCAGCAAGGAGCCAAGCCCAAAAGATTAGACATATTGTCCCACTTTTTGTTGCTTTCGCCATTGTTGGTATTTGTTCTGTTTTAAATCTGATTATGTGTCCTCAGATTTAGAATGTAGTTAACCAGTCTTTTTTTCCCCCTGTCTCTTATCATGTAGCTGTGCATAACATTGTATGCATATTTACAGCAATTTGTTTTTAGTTTGCATGTCTTACTGGTAAAGTTAAATGATAGTTTAAAGTGAAAGTTAATGGCTAATCTGTGGAGGTTCATCTCATACAAAGTAATGACAGCCTGAGCCAAGGAATAGTTCTCCCAAAAATGAAGATTCTGTCAGTATTTACTCACCCTCGATTTGTTCCAAACCTGTATTTCTTTTCTCTGTTGAACACAAAAGAAGATATTTTGAAGAATGCTGGTAACCAATTGTTTTTCCTTCCATATGGAAGTCAACAAGGTCAATCAACTGTTTGGTTACCCATGTTTATCAAAATATCTTCTTTTCTGTTCAGCAAAAGAAAGAAATTCATACAGGTTTGGATCAACTTGAGGGTGAGTTTTGACAATTTTAATTTTTGTGTGAACTATTCTTTAATTTGACTAACTTTAATGTTTGTTACAAAAACAAATTGAAAACCTTGATGAAACGTATATGTTTATAAGCTATGTAAAAAGAATATAATTTTTTTTTGAGGTCATGTTAGCTTTAATTTAAAGGGGGTGATTCAGAGCCCCACCACACAAAACTGCGCACTCTGCCTGAGGTGCAATATAGGAGTGTCGAAACTGATTTTAGAGCCGTTTTAGAGCTGTGAACGGTTGTTTGAAAGAGGTCCTTTTAAAATGAGTAATACGTATTTGACGGACACATGATTGTAAATCTAATCTCCGTCAAGTGTGCCGTGTTTAACCCGCTGCCTGCCCTCGATGACGTCGGATTCGCGCATCAAGCTCGTGAGCTGAGCTCGTGTGGGCGGGACTGACTGGTGGTGTTAGTGAAAAGAGATGGACCCGCGCGCTGGCTCCAGCTTGCAATCTGACAACTTCAACTCGAACTCGTCTACTTTGATATATGAAGGAATTGTTCTTTGCATTTGGGAACAACTTTCTCTATTATTTTTTTATAGTGAAAAGCGCGATGTGTTTTATTCGTCCCCATTGCTGCCTCGCACCGCTGTAGAGGTCGTTTCCTGATCACTTACTCTTACCTGAAGGACTTACTCTTGATTGGAAAAGGACACTGGAATATTTGATGCTAGAAAGGCCATAGTGGCGATTTCTTAAAATCGGTGTTTATAAACCACAGAAGGATTTTATTGATTATGTCCAGGATGCGACATTCATATACAGTTACAGTACCAGAAGAGCCTCCCGCGACTGCGTTCCCACTTCTAAAACAGGACATGCGGAGGAAAAACTCTACTATGTCCGGCTCCATGCTGGTCTCTACATTCGTTGGGCTTCTGATTAATCATGCCAAGGTAGGAATACACGCTTCTTATGCGTCTTACGGCAAGCAGTTTTAACATTTATTCCTTTAAACTCACTAGTATCTATTTTTGTGCTACTAGCATTTATGTCTAGGCCTATTTATTATTTTCACTGCTACTTAATAGCATATTTTTGTCACTGAATACTCTAACTTTCTTACTAACATGTATTGCAGTTACTTACAGTGGTACCTATTCCATGCTGACTAGGGTCTATTCATTAGGTACTAGTGCTTATTTTAGTTGCAGGTATTTAACTTAACTTATCACTTAATTGGTATTTGTAAAACGGAAACAGACCATTTGAAAACATATTAGTCATAAGTGAATTGTTGGTATCTGAACCACAGGTAGTAGTTGTATGTTGTATAGTGAACAAATACTAGTCATTACTGGAGTAAGTACTGGTGTCTAACTAGTCAAAAAGTAGTAGTTATGAGATTACTAGCAATACAAGTATGCATTAGTTACATATAAAATGATGCTAGTTAATTTCAAGGGATAAATGTTCAAGCATGAATGGAGCTTATTGAGGCCCATTGAATAAGCCTTAAACTAGTTCATGGTGTGATGTCATTACTACTGCGCTTACCACCATCAGTAAGCTCTAAGAAGTCATTGTAAGGGATCAGTTTTGTGACAGGTCACTGCTTATATAATGGTAAATTAATCTTTCTTGGAAAATTGATAAATAAGTCTTTCTTATTGATCAATTAGCTTCAATTAGTTTCAATTAGCTGAGTGTAACAGTGCACAGCAGTATTTCTTTGAAGTGAAGTAATGGCACAACGCAAATCAGCGGCAGCCTGCATGCATCTGATGTACAGTTTGACGCATGAGGCAGTTCAGAATGGTCGTTCATTGTTACGTAATGAGCAGAAATCCCATTAGAGCTCACTCCTTTATCCGACAGTGCTTTCAGTCCCACCCCATGCCACCGAGGTCAGTACCGGCCTGGCGTTCCGGCTTTGCTGCTGAGCCTCCATTATCTGCCGCTCGATTAATTTCAGCCTCACGGAATGCGCTTTAATTTTTATCTGGACACTTATATATTAAAGGACCCATATATTTAGTGCCTAGAAGTTACATAATAATAGAGCGTATTTTAAATGAATGTTTTCTTTTCTCCTATACCTGCAGTGATTGGACTGACTATTTGTAAAGCCTTATTAAACAGGCATAATAAAACATTTTTTTCATGATTCTTTCCATGCATCTTTTGTGAGTCACTTTCCCTGGTCGGTCACCCATTTTTGACCTGGCAGTGTGACATGCATTATGTGATTGTGAAGGACATGATGGACTACCAGTGGTGTCTTTATCTTATTTATAACAAGATTGTCTAGATGGAATGTTTTGTACCAGTATAACACCTAGACACACCCTCAGGACATGGGACAGAACCCAGTGCTCTCATTCATATTACACACTTGTTAAAGTCCTGCAGATTCTGTCCTCTGCTGGGGTGAACAAATGATGGCAAAGGAGCATAAAAATGCTCAGGAAATTCAAGTCTTTGAACATTTGTCAGAGTTAATAGAAAAAAGTGTTTCAAGGAAAACCTCAGCCAACACACTGCTGGGAGATATGTGGAATTCTTAGGCTGGTAGTGTAGGCCAGGAGAGGAGACAAAGTTGACATAAAACAGAGACAGTATAAACTTTAAACAGTACCTGGCGGGTTCATCTTTAAACCAGCTACCAGAGCACTTCAACTAATATTTATGTGGGTCAATCTATGCTGAAGACTCAAGGCCGTCAGTCTGGAGGTTTTATCTGGGCTTTTGCTCCACATTTTCCTTTCACAGTGAGCTGTTATAAAAGCAGGATTAGTCTTCCCTCACCTCTTTAATGGGGAGTACGGTGAACAGAACACAGTGACCCACTTCCACATTCTCCGGCCACCAGAAAAATAGGGGGAAAATGTGTTATAGAGGAGGATTTGACATCTAAAATCACTTTGTATCAACAACATAGAAGGCAGAAACCCATATTGAGTAAATATATCATGTTCTAATTAGGGTTGGGTATCGTTTGAATTTGAACGATTCTGATTCCAATTGCGATTCCTTGTTTCGATTCCGGTTCCTAACGATTCTCGATTCCGATTCTTTTAAGAGGCAGGGTCAAAAAAGTTTAGCTAACCTTGCTAACCAACGGCCTTTCTGAAAGAAATAATCCTTTCTGAAGGAAATACTCCTTCTGTAAAAATACTCCTTTTTGTCACAAATTTTGCATTTTGCCGAGATTTCGTTATTTTTAGAAAAGTGAAGCCACACTTTGGATCGCCAACGTAAGGTACTCATGTTCGACTCGCGTGGTTATGCCAACACTTCCGGTAGACGCTTCTTCGTTGGTGTTGTTCAGCTGTTTCTTCTTCCGCTCGGCGGACTGTGAATATTGAAACTAGGAATCGAAATTTTAACTTTTAAACGATTCCGGGAAAAACGAAAAGTTAGTCTCGGTTCCAATCGATACTCGATTCTCGATACCCAACCCTAGTTCTAATGCTTCATTATATGTTGAAATAATGAAACGGTGTAACTAATGCATTGAAGTTCCTTACCCAAAGTTTACAGCTTTGCCTTGCTAGAACAATTTCAATAGGGACTTGACTTTCATATCATTTGGGCTGGTGTTCAGCTTCTTTTAACAGGTTCCTCTAGGGTTTTTGAGGCACTTTTCACACTCCGACAAAGTGTTGTAAACTTATTAGTATGACTCACTATATTAAGAAACAACCCCAAGCTTTTTGGCAACAACAGCAGCAGCATCATCTCATTTAACACAGCTTCACAGTGAATCCCAATACCTAAAACAGACCTCCTTTGTATGTACAAATGTTCTCTTGACATCCAACAGGACATGTATTCCCCATTTGACGTCTTAGTTTTAATGTAGTATCAGGTTGAATGTTGATATTTGGATTGCCATTATTTTTTTTCATGTGGACTTATGGTTGTAAAACTCCTGTGAAAAGATGTGACCATCAGAGATGGCTGTAAGTGTTGCCGTGACGATGACAAGTCAGCCAATGAGTGGACAATCCATGTGAAAGAATGCTATTTTTGGCAGTGCTGATATTACTCAGCAGAGTAGGACAGACTGGGCTGGTGAACCTATTTCTGTGAAATATGTTCAACAAAAATTTTCCATGGAAGCATGGATTTAGATAATACCCATTTAATGAGTTTCTTAAACATTACTGGTGTGATATTTAAGTGTTTGTTCCACAAAAAAAAATTGACTGCTGTGCCCTCAGTGGCCAGGACAAATGTGGTCAGTGTGAACATCCAGCACCGAGTAAGTTCGTCACAGTTCCAGCACAGGGCGGATCATGTCTCCCCTCCAGTGCTTTGGCACACAGAAAACAACATAGTGTCAAATTACTTGCTAGTCTGCTTCAGCACTCTTGCACCTCTACCAAAACACAGATTGTATGGAAATATGGATCTCCATTTCCTGGAACATTTGAGAAACTTGACTTAAGTTGCAGACATATTCAACGTTGCTTGGAAATTTGCTACGTTGACCACATTTTTTTTTTTTTTTTTTTTTTTTTGAAAGTGAGTTTGGTGCTTAGTGCATCACTTCGCTAGTGACAAAATACCTGCAAAATTTAGATTAATTTGACTGCACTTAAAGGGATAGTCCACTTTTTTTGAAAATAGGCTAATTTTACAACTCCCTCAGAGTTAAACAGTTGAGTTTTACCATTTTCTAATCCATTCAGCCGATTTTCTGATATTTAGAAGAATATCAGTAACCAGACAGTTTCTGGTCTCATTGACTACCATAGTATATTTTTTTCCTACAATGGTAGTCAATGAGACCAGAAACTGTCTGGTTTCTGATATTCTTCTAAATAACAGAAAATCGTCTGAATGGTTTTTTGAAAACGGTAAAACTCAACTGTTTATGTTTCAGTGCATACTTGAAATGTGTAACTGCTGACATCTAGCCTTTAACCTGTGCTAATGTTCCACCTCCTCTCTGTTTTTCAGAACTCAAAGAGTGCCCAGGGTCTGGTGGGGCTTCGTAATCTGGGAAATACGGTAAGTGTTTTCCCATGTTCTCATTTAGACTTATTTTTTTTGTCATATAGTATATATAGGCTGCATAAAACACATCAAACATGCTAGAAATCTGTGAAATCTGGTTGACAGAACTAAGTGGCAACAAGAAGCAGAAATGTTTTCATATCGCTTTCACATTCCTCTGTCTATTTCCATTTGGCGAGATTATTTTTAATGATGTCTCTTCGCTCTTGCACTCTCTTAACTTGCTTTTGCCAAGCGACAGTATGTGTACAGTCCAAAAATAAACCCCTACACATTGCAGTCAAGTCTGCTGCTTCTATGAAACTCTAGACTTATGTCACTTGTTTTGTAGCTATTTTTGCTTTTTCTGATTTCTGCTCAGTGAACATGTTGTAAATATTTTAAATATGTAATGAATTGTCAAGAAACTAATTTGTGGTCTTTTAAAAATAAATAAAGATGTCAATGTCATGCAAGTCATTCAATCAATTATCAGCCTAATATATTGTTTTCCTCCTTTGTCTCTTTCTTTCCGTCGCTAGTGTTTTATGAACTCCATCCTCCAGTGTCTTAGCAACACACAAAGCCTGCGAGACTATTGTCTTCACAACTCCCACCGTCGAGACCTCAACAACAACAGTCGCACAAACACTGCTCTCATGGAAGGTGAGTGTGCATCGGCACAACGCGGTTCCTGCTGGTCTTGCTTTTTTTTTTCTTGTAAACCGCAAACCTTACTGAAAGCCTCTCTTTGTCCTGACTACAGAGTTTGCCAAGCTGATCCAAACAATGTGGACTTCTTCAAGCAGTGAAGCCGTCAGCCCCTCTGAATTCAAAACACAGATTCAGAGATTTGCCCCCAGATTTGTAGGCTACAAGTAAGCCTGATCTTACATGTGTCTTTTTCTGCTCAAAGTGGGAGCACGTGGTGGTTTTACACAGACAAGCACCACTCACATTTATTTCTTTTTTTAATCCAGAAAATGTAAAATACTATATTAGTTATCTGCTTATTAAATGTTATTCATTCTGTTAGAATTTTAATATTGAACATTTTTCAGGTTTCTGTCCATAACACGAATATATTTGCCTGATTATCAGTAATGTAGTGTCTTATCAATGTCAAGTTCAGTTTCTTTATGTTTATCAGTAGCTGGCTGTGGTTTTGTAAAGTATTGAGATGTTTATGTAATCTTTCCAGTCAACAGGACGCTCAGGAGTTTCTACGTTTCCTGCTAGACGGCCTGCACAACGAAGTGAACAGAGTCACGGTCCGGCCGCGGGGAAACATAGAAGACTTCGATCACTTGTCGTAAGTGTACTCTCTCTATGAGTGTGGGTAGTGTTGTGATCACAATTTTGTCATTTATGTCTTGTTATTTTTCTTCAGTGATGAGGAAAAAGGGAAAAAGATGTGGGCTAAGTACTTAGAGAGAGAAGACAGCAAGATTGTAGGTAAGTGTACACTGTATGAATTGTGTACTGTAATAGTATAATTGTGTGTATATACAGTATATAGTTTTAGTTAACAAAAACAACACTGCACTATGCACAGATCATAGAGCTTTGGGTTATCTATGTGCTCTCTAATTCTGCCGTGTCTCTGTGTGTCCTCAGATTTGTTCGTTGGCCAGCTGAAGAGCTCTTTGACCTGCAGTGAATGTGGCTATTGTTCCACTGTGTTCGATCCCTTCTGGGATCTTTCCTTGCCTATCTCCAAGGTCAGTTCATTGAAGTGTACATGCACATTCAGACTTTAAAATGCACACTTTGAAAACTTGGAGAAATGAGTGGGTGTTAATGGAGTTCCTCTGCCTAGAAGGGCTATGGAGAGGTGAGCCTAATGGACTGCATGAGGCTCTTTACTAAAGAAGATGTGCTGGACGGGGACGAGAAGCCGGTAATTTATTACCTTCATTCCTATCGTTTTAATAATGTGGAAATAGATATATACCGAAGTATCTAATCGTTCTATCTTTTCATCCAGACATGTTACAGGTGCAAAGCCAGGAGACGATGCACAAAGAAATTTACAGTTCAGAAGTTTCCTAAAATATTAGTTCTTCGTATCCTTTTTCTAGTGCAATCTGATCTTAATGTGGTGTCACTGGGGTGCGTTTGTTGACAGTAAGCACAGATAAGATCGGGACGCTCTGTGTGTGTTCAGGGAATGTGCTGATTGAAGCGTTCTGTGAAAGGTCTCTCTGAGATCAGCAGTGTGCCGAGTCTCTTCTCCTTAACCGCTTCACTTGTTCAGATCTGAAGCGCTTCTCAGAAGCCCGCATCAGAACCAGCAAACTGTCTACTTTTGTCAACTTCCCCATGAAAGACCTGGACCTCAGGGAGTTCGCCTCTGACAGAAGCAGTGAGTGAAGACACTTTAATCTTAGAGGGAATGTGCTGCGTAGGGTTGGGTATCGAGAATCGAGTATCGATTGGAACCGAGACTAACTTTTCGTTTTTCCCGGAATCGTTTAAAAGTTAAAATTTCGATTCCTAGTTTCGATATTCACAGTCCGCCGAGCGGAAGAAGAAACAGCTGAACAACACCAACGAAGAAGCGTCTACCGGAAGTGTTTTGCATAACCACGCGAGTCGAACATGAGTACCTTACGTTGGCGATCCAAAGTGTGGCTTCACTTTTCTAAAAATAACGAAATCTCGGCAAAGTGCAAAATTTGTGACAAAAAGGAGTATTTTTACAGAAGGAGTATTTCCTTCAGAAAGGATTATTTCTTTCAGAAAGGCCGTTGGTTAGCAAGGTTAGCTAAACTTTTTTGACCCTGCCTCTTAAAAGAATCGGAATCGAGAATCGTTAGGAACCGGAATCGAAACAAGGAATCGCAATTGGAATCAGAATCGTTCAAATTCAAACGATACCCAACCCTAGTGCTGCGGCAATGAAAATTCACCCTATCTGTTTTCTAAATGCGTGTTATAGATCATATTGTGAACAACTAATCTATGCATATGTTTCATAAAAAAAAAGGATCTTGACATTTGTGAGTTAAAATACCATAACTGGATCTTCCAGTGAAGTGATTGACTCTCTGATGATGTATGCTGGAAAACTGCCATTATTTATGGGTCATTTAAGAGACTGTTTTAAACTAAAACGCAAATTTTTATGTGTTTTGGCCGTTCATTTACACGACAGCTGTGTTTTCGGGACCTGAAAATGTCTCCTTGTAAACTACAAACACATGAATTAGTGAAAACTGTGACGTATTACTTGTTCAGTCTATAGGCGCGTAGTTTTACAACTGAAGCTCGCTTAAACCCAGCCCTTTCCTACATTCATATCCACCTCCATCCAATCAACAATCTTTTCTGATAATCTGTTTTACATGGATGTCACGATACAAAAGAAAAGATCTGTAAATCTGTTGCCTCTTCAGTTCCATAATGTGATATATCCTGTTTATACATAATGAATTATACGTTATGAATAGCAATAAAATAAAACAAACATATATTGCGTGAATATAACTTTTAGAACCATTATTGGTTTACAATGTCTCAAATTCAGTTAGATAAAATGTAAAGTCTTAAATATCTTAAATGGTATAACAGACGTTTTAAATATAATTTGTTTTTTTAATTTTCTAAAATTTGGGGATGAAAAAGCAATAATCACGATATGGCTTTATGTGATTATTAAACAAAAATAAGGTTGTTTTATGTTCTATAGGCTCATGGTTTCAGAGCTGTTCACAGTCGATAAATACCGCACAATTATGCCAAGTGATTTCATTTGATACTGTGATTCATCAACACTACTGTTGATTAATTTTGACAATGTTTACCTTATGGTATTTTACAGCCCTCGTCTTTTTGAATGAGCCGCTGGTACTGTAGGTGTATTGTTGGCTTGTTTATAGTTACTGCAGTATTTATATTTTTCTCTAGATATTATTGGTATTTTGGTTCACAATAAACTGTACCTGACATTTAATTGCACCCTGACTGTCTATTCCTCTTTCTGTTTCAGGTAGTGCAGTGTATAACTTGTATGCAGTGTCCAATCACTCAGGCACGACTATGGGAGGCCACTACACAGCGTACTGTTGCAATCCTGAAAACGGGGAATGGTACACGTATAACGACTCCAGGTACTTTCTTTACCTTCACCTCCTGCTCTTTCTTATCCGGTTGCATAACCGTGTACTGTAGAGTACCAGGTAGATTTCCCAAAGGTATATAACACGCGTTAGCTTTCAGAGAAATGATCCTCTTGGTTATAGCATGTCAGCAGAGTTCCATTCCACCTTCTAGCTTCCATTATTTCACTGTATCCCATCCTCCTCCCTCACTCCTGCTCCTTCACCTCCCTCCCACACACTCTTTCTTAAAAAGTGACGAATCTCAAAACATAATAGAATGAGGATTTCAAGATGTACAAATAAACGCTCCTCAAAAGCCTGAGGTATCATATTTGATACTCACATTTTAACATGATAAAAAAAAAGATGTTAATCCAGTAAACCGAAGTCTTCAGTCCAGCAAGTTTTGAATTATTGCTAATAAGTGAAGATTTCACAGCAAAAAGGACACGTGTGACAATCTGAAGGACATGTTTAGATTATACGATAGTTTTGAGGCCATCGAAATGTGCTTTTCAAATATGATACAGTAGGTTTTATATGGTTAAATATTTGATTTTAAATCTCAGATCTTGATTGTCAACTAAATAAGAGTGTCAATTCCTTCTTCCAGAGTCACGCCAATGTCAACCAGCCAAGTTCGCAGTAGCGACGCCTATGTGTTGTTTTACGAGCGAGCTGGACTCTGAGGACGGACTGTGGACAGAGAAGCCCCTTGGGCTGAAGACACTACACATTTGCTGCTTCCTCTGGCCCATAATGCAGAATGAACATCGCTTTCTGCTGGCCATCGGGAGAAGCACACACAATGCCCTCTCACACTCCACCACTGTGTTAAAGAGGTCATCACGCCTCTGTGTGTTTGTGTGCGAGTGTCCGGGCGGCTCGTCATCAGGCAATAACCCAAGTGGCTCCGACTCAGATGTCTCTCTATGCACTGCAACCAAACTCTCATCCCGATCGCCTTCCTCTTGATTAAGAACGCCTCAATACAAAAAACTTTGTTTCACTTGATATTTGTTTTGAAATTTTCTTCATGCTTTTTTAAGTATTTGTCCACCCTGTCAACCTGGGAGATAAACCGGATTGAGGCGCCCTCTAGTGGGCTGCCGAGGAGTTACAGAAGTGCGCTGTCCAGGCCTGTTACAGTACGTATTGTTCTTTCCATCACCTCTTCCGTTCACCTCCGCCACCCATCATCTTTTCTGTGTATGCTTTGTTCTCTCCTCCACTCTGTCTTTCTTCTCAACTTCCTGAAGGAGTCACGGGAGTTTGTTGTGAAAGTCTGTGGTGGTGAGAGAACGGCGTGTGCCGTGACTTTTATTCAGTGTGGCTGCTACTGAAATCTTTGAAATGCTGTGAATGGAAATGAGGACGGGAGGAGAAATGATGCTGACAGTATATGGATCCTTGATCTCATGCCATTTGAACAACATGGAAAGAATGTTTTGCAAAAGAAAATCTGTATATTTTTATAAATGATGCAAATAGAGAATGTACTATAAACAGTGGTGCTGAAAATGACCCATTACTGTTGTCAGTTAATTTAACAGAGGTAAGAGAACAGCATCTATTTATGCTTACAGGTCAGGAAATAATGTGATGCGAGTCACACTGTGGCAGTCAAAGTATAAATATACATATATATGTATGAATAAATTTTAGAAGAATGAACTGTTACAATCCTCTCATGAGTTTGTGTTTTGTCTTTGCCTTCCGGTTCTTATGAATGACAAGGGTTTATTTAATTCTATTAAATATTATTATGTGAACTGTTTTATTTGACATTTTATAACCCTGTTACTAAGATTTGGGACATACATTTTAAAACCTTGGATTATATATGTACATTTATATACACACACAGAAAAGAAAAAAGAAGAGACTGTCTGGACAATTAGCAGTTTTTCTGGATTTACAATTTATATGTAGTATGTGTTAATTAACATTTTTGTTTTATTCTATAAACTAGTGACAACATTTCATCCAAATTTCAAGTAAAAATGTTGCAAATTTTGTCCTAAATTATGCTGTTTCTCAGTAAGAGTAAGCTAGTTTGAGAGCAAATGTTGGTTTGTATTTACTATTAAACCTAATTATCAATATTCGTTTCTAGCAATAATTTGTTTTGATGGTTGCAAAAAAAAAAAAAAAAAAAGGGTCAAAGTTTCAATATATTTAAAAACCACTGTTTAAATAATATTTATAGTTGGATATTATTCATTAACATTTTGAAATACCTTTTAATATTTTTTTTTCCATTTCTATTTGTTTTTGGTTGTTTATATTTCTTAGTTTTATTTTATTTCATTTTTATGTATTTTTGTTCTCCATTTAATATTGATAGTTTATTTTAGCTTTATTTCAATTAACAAAAAATATTTATAGTTAATAAAAACAACACTGCTAAAAATGAAATGATAACTTTACTTGTCTTCCCTCAATGCTATAAAATCCAAGTAACCACTTTCAAAGTGTATATTTTATGCAATGTTCCACTTTTAGGTGAATAAATCATGCGGTAACAGTTGCACACTAAATATGGGACACAGGCAGCTAGTTATAGTTTTTAGAACAGATTAAGGGGGGGGGGTTGATTGCGATTTTAAATAGTGTGAAATGTTGCTGTTGGTGCATGAACAGTATCTGCAAAGTTGCAGCGCTGAAAGTTTAGTGTAAGCAGAGATATCGTCTTTTAAAAATCAGGAAGTATATTGCCTACAAAAACGACTCGATTGGGACTACAGTTGGGTTTTAGACGTCACTAACCCAAACATTTGCATCAACCCTCCCTCCGAATATGCAAAAATGTGCATATTTCTGCGTCTAATCGAGTGTGTTGTGTTCACCCAGCTGTCAGGTCTTCTGTGTTCCCAAGGACGCTGTACTTCGTCAACAATGGATACTATTTATGTTTGATTATGTTCCTGAAAATGACGATCGTAATTTAGCTCTCTGACTGTGCTGCGCATTTATGGAAGACTGCTTCCAGAATCTCCACGAATTCAACGCCGGATTCAGCAAGAAACTGTTACTAAAACATGAAGCAGTTCCAGCTTTAAAACAAGAAGCAGCAGTTGTTGGGCCACAACCTGTAAGTAGGCTAAGACTTAATCATTTTAAATGTATTTGCATGTATAATTCCAGACGTAGCCTTGTGTTTTATTTTTTTCAAATGCCAGCGTTGGCTTTATAGCCACTAGGCTACTAGTTATGCTATTTTGTGTCTACGACAAACGCGTACAAACATATGGACCTGAATTTTGTATAAGTACTAATGTTGTAAACGTATTTTTCATGTATATATGTTTTATGACGTTATTTTCGATTTGATCAAGAACGTAAACTAATGCCGACGCTGTTTGAGTATAACATTAGTTGCCAGTCAGTTGCTATTGTTGCCAGTCAGATGCTATTGTGTAAAACAAACGTGTATAAAGTTAAAAAATGTAGCAAATTATCATTCAGAAACGCTTAGTAAGAGCCGTGTGTGGTAAGTTTCTGCTTGACTCTCTTCATCGCGGATTTCTCGGCCTGATTCTGCCTCAAACTGATACTGCACTTCGACTCAGGTCACACTATTTATTTACCTTACATCTGGACCGGAGCTCATGACATGCATGTTTCGCCCGTAAAGTCAATGGGCGTTAATTTTCCGGACAACGTGAGCGACAGTTTAGCCAATCACAACACACCGGCCCAAACTAACCAATCTGAGTCCACTACGTGTTTCTGAGGGAGTGGTTTCATAGAATCAGGAAGTCGACCGGTCGTTCGAGGACAGAGGAGAGCGTGGCTGACAATAAAGGTGAAGTTTATGAAAAATAAGACTTAAAAAAAAAAGAAAATCACGAATACATGTTATATTGCACCCCATAAACACAATCATGCAAAGAAAAAGAAAAAAAGCAGTCAAACCCCCCCTTTAAGTCTTAACATATTTTGAACAGATTAAGTCAGAATTATGACAGTGTTGTTAAATAGAGTAAATAAAGTCAAGACTCTAAGGTGGTGCTAACAAAAATTAGCTATTTTCAGAATGTGAAAAGTTCATTTTATTTGAAATAAAACCTTATATGACTCATCTAATAAATAACCTGGGATTTGTTAATTTGTTGCTTTAGAAAAGTGATGGGACTTCAATGTTTACTCTATCTGTAAAAGTAGGCTACCACATCTCCTTTTGAATCCTAAATTGTTTTACTAACTGAACTGTTCCCTCCCAGGTCGACAAATGTGAGTCACACTCTATGACTTCCACTGAACTGGAAGTGAACTTTGAAACTTTGTAATCAACTCATTGTGTGTTAAATGGAATCAGTTATTTAAGCAAAACAGTTAAGCGGATATACTGTTTGCAACATAAAGACCGGATCAATTGGGTGGAGGAATGAAGAATGGCAGTGAGCAATGTGACAGCATATGGTAAGTTAGTGGACACTTCACATGTGATATGGGAACAGCAGATTGTGGTTTTGTGGATTTGTGGTTCATAGCCTTATAACAGAAACAGGTAATAGTAAAGATTCAGGAAAAGCTTTCAACAAGAATAACCGGTTCTGCTTATCGGGAACATTCATTACCTTTCATTTGACTTCTCTATGTTTTGGTTAGTCGGTCCGGAGTGTGGTTCTGTGATGGGACTCTTGCTGCTGGGTCGAAGGCATGCTGGTAAGAGCTCAGTGGGAGACCTCATCCTCGGACGCAGTGAGTTTGAGCACGGGAAGAAGACGACTCGGTGTGTGAGGAGATACGGCTGGGTGGACGGCGTGAGGCTGGCCGTCGTGGACACTCCAGGCTGGAGTCTCTTCGGATTGGCTAACGCCAAACAGGTGAAACGTGAGATCCTGCGCAGTGTGATGTTGGCCCCTCCAGGATGTCAGTTATTTCTCCTCGTTATCCCAGTGGACTCTTTCAGCAAGAGAGACGGAAGTGCGATAGAGAAATATCTGGGTGTCCTCGGGGATGCCGTGTGGTCATACACTCTGGTGCTCTTTACGTGGGGAGACGAGTTAAGAGGAAAGAATATTGAACAGCACATTGAAAAGAAGGGTGAACCTTTGCAGAAGATCTTGAGGAAGTGTGACAACAGGTACCATGTTGTGAACAATAAATGTCCAGAAGACTATACTCAGGTCACTGAGCTGCTTAACATTTTAAAGCGAATGAGTGCCAGCACTGGTTGAACACAGAAAATCAACTTATATTTATGAAATGTAATCTCATTGTAATTCATTATTGAGCTTTTCATTATTTAATCGTCCTTTACTGCCCCCTATTTATAAACTGGCAACTAAAAAGATGTTAAAGGGACAATGTGTAGGAATTTCTCCCATCAGACAACATGACATCATGACTTTTGCGTAAACATACATGCCACTTTCAAGTCAAGTGGCGTGTTATCTATACGCATTTTGAGCTATCTGCGTGTATGTTTACGTCATTAAATGTCTGAGTGGTTCTGCGTGTACAAGTTCACGCCATTAAATATCTGAGCGAAACAAAGCAAAATGTAGATCTAGGGTATCTGGGGAGCGATTTTTTTTTTTTTTTACAAGGATGGTACGGGAAGACTCATAAATGCTATTAACCCCATATTCATATACAGTAATGTAACGTTAAGTCAACTGCGTTCATAAACACGCTGAAAAGCGATATGCATGTTGATAGCATGCCAAAAATGGAAATACAAATTGGTGTCATACACACACAATTTCATGAGATCAGTCGGCATCAGCAGTGAAAATGTATTTTGCATTCAAACGAATTGCATCTACGGTAGCCATTATGCACCAAAAAGCTATGACAGGATGTCTTCTAATAGCACTTCGTCGAGTGTTCCTTCGGGTGAACAGGTTTGTTATTTCGAACAAACTGTAACTTGACACAACGAACAAACGAATATTACAGTATGAATTACTGATTGTGTAAAACATGAACTATTGTAATAGGTAGTTATGCCTTCTTTATTCGTTATAATTCCTGAAGTAAGTCTATGTGCATTGATAGATATCATTATCAACGTTTAACTATAAATGTTTATCTGTCTGTAAAATAAGTAGGCTACATAACCAAACAATGAAAAAAAGCTTGTAATTAAGTAACATTGTAATTAAGTAACATAGTCAATGTTTGACTAACATTGACTCCTGCATTTGCTCTATCCACCTGGAAAATTGACTTGTGTTTTTTGTAATCTCTGGTCACATTTCCATTTACGATCTATTTTGGACTTTCTGGCGACGAGGATTTGCAATGCAGCTTTTTAAACTTGCCGGGGCAGTGACAAACACCTCTCACTGCTCTGCTCGTCTGATTTTGCTGCTTTCAGTCACGTCACGCTGGATCTGAACGAAAACGCATTATTGTGGAAATGCGTTTGCCAAGTACTTTTTGTCCATCTCTGCTATTATAGTTTTTCAAGATAGAGGAACTACATGGAGGCCTCCATCATAGACAGTAATAGGGAGAATCTTTTCCTGTCTATGGGAGAACTCCCAGTCACATTAAACTTCTGGGTTCTGAACTGGTTGCAGTTCCACTCTGGGTCCATATGAGGGCGCTCACAGGACGAGTGCAGAATGAATGGAGGTCTATGGAGCTATACCCCTAAAAATCAATTTTTCTCAGGATATAATTTTTTGTCTAGTAATTTGAATGTTGTAAACAAAAGGAGATGCAAATAAATGACAAATTAATGGGTTTTTAGATTTTTTTAGAGACACTTATTTACTTTAAAAAGTCTTTTAAAATGTCAATGACGTCATACACGTCGTAAGGTAAGACCAGAGACCTGCTTTACGGCAATCCTTCAGTCACTGGTGCTTCCGCTCATAGACAGACGAGAAAAGATGAAAAATGAAACGCAAAAATGAAAATTCTATCATCATCATTTACTCACCCTCAAATTATTCCAAACCTGTATGAATTTCTTCTGTTGAACACAAAATAAGATATATTGAAGAATATGGGTAACTTCCATAGGCCTATTAAAAAAACACTATGGAAGTCAATGGGGCCCATCAACTGTTAAGTTACCTTCTGTGCGTCGAAGATCTCAAAAATGAAGTTTATTACAGCATAGCAGTGGCAAGGCACACAAAGCACCTTGGGTTCACCGGCGTCAGAATGAACCCCGAGCATTCAAATCTTAAATCTTTTATCCTGTTACTGGTTACCACTCACTCTTAATGTAAATGAAGTTGCTCTTGTCGTAACAGCTGTGTTCTGTATCTAAGAATAACAAATTCGTCAGCTCTCTTAGCATGGAGCTGAAGCTCTGTCTTTAAGTGAAGAAACAATTTGAGGGTGAGTAAATGATGACATAATTTTGTTTTTTGGTTGAACTATCCCTTTAACCAATGTTAACTAATGTGTCTTTATTGCAAAGCGACTCGCCTTATAAAGACATTCGAATAAATATTTGAAATAGAAAACAAGACAAAAAATATTTTTGTCTTTTTGAGTTTTACCACCAGATGATGTCAGTGAGTTAACAGTTCAAGGTAAATATCTAGCTTTATATTGTTCATTCATACAGCCGCCGCCGCCGCCAGGGGGAGCACCGAGCGCAGTCAAATTTGTTTTGTACCATTAAAGATAAACTAGCACTAGAGTCTAGCAACAAACTTTGTAATTATACTTATTCCTTTCTTTATTTTTTATTCCGGTAGAAAATTAACCCTGTTCCATTTTTTTCTTTTTACATCGTCCTTGAAATATTCTTCTCTTTTGCATGCTCTGATTTCTTGCAGAGCTCAGGATTTGTTTTCTTGAGCTGACGGGACTATCCTTCGCGGCGGAGGACGACGCACTCGCGTGCGCGGAGGAACATAATATTACAGCCTCCTCCTGTAGCTCTGTGTGTCATTGTAATGCAGTAAAGCAAGCTGGGATCATGGTTAACTTCTACGAACGAACTGAAGAAGATAAACCTTAAACTCCCCTCACCTATAACGGATCTTGCTTTTAATGTCTTTTCCTGGTTTTCTTAAAAGTAAAGCGGTGATGTTTTCCTCCATTGTCCCGCATAATCGAAAGCAGGACTGAGGGGTGTACTGACGAAATGGTGTACACAGCTATCATATGGATCTGAAGAAGAGCACAATATCGTTGAAGAAGAACGTCATCAAACGGAACAGTTATTTTGTAAACTGACCTGCTATTATTCGGGCGATACTGCTTGTCTAAAATGTGAAATCGATGTCGTAACATCGATTTAGATATTATTTAATGCGATTTTCTGCTAAATTATCAGTGTAAAAATCTGCTAGGCTACATTGTAAATGCAAATCTCTGGCTGTCATTTTAGCCAGCTCGCAATGGGCAACTCAATGACCCACCGCGCCGTTATTGAGCTAACGAGTCACCATAAAAGGGAGAGGGGGTTTGCAACCCCTTTCTTTGCTTTTAAACTGAACTGACATCATGTAGCATGTATTTTACTAAATGGCTCGTTAACTGGGTCAGAGATTGACAGCGAAACATCCTGCGCATCTTTATGAAACTTCACGTTTAGCTATTCCTTTGTTTTGATCCTTACTTAAGCCAGACAGTTGTTAGTCAACTCTCAAGTGCACTAAGTCGTCCTTCGCATTAATAGTTTGGGGATGACAGGATTCTTGAATAGACTGTCGTCTGGATTAACGAGAGTTTGAAGAACTTGACAACCTCTCCATCACAAGCAGTAGTGTATCACAGCAGGACACTTGCCAAAAAATGGAGACGGTGGGAGACTTTGAATACAGCCGAAAAGATCTCGTCGGGCACGGAGCCTTTGCGGTCGTCTTCAAGGGAAGACATAAAAAGGTCAAATTAATATTTTCAAATATAGACATATTATTATGTTTTATGCATATTATATATATATATATATATATATATATATATATATATATATATATATATATATATATATATATATATATGCATTGTGCTTTTCACCTCTTGTGCGAGTAATAGCAATCCTTGTGTTTTTATGTAAGATGTGCTAGAATAGGTCACATACTGCTGGAGTCATTCATTCATAAAACAGCCTCCGCGAATAAGCCGTCTGACGTCAATACGACTGACCGGTCTACTTTGGGCGGAAAGACAGTTATGATTTCCGCTTTATAGCCTATTTTTTACAATGCCTAAATACAAATAACGCACTGACAGGTGTTATGAGAAAATGGAAAGCCGTTTTAACATCATTGCCAAAACCTATAGCCTATCTATTTATTTTATGTAGTGTTTTTTTTAAATGACTAGTCCAGTATGTTACTACTAGCATCATTTTCATTTTAGTAGCTAGTCATTAGATTCTGTAATACTTTATAGTGTCCTTCTTACAGATTATACATGTACTTACCATAATAACAGTAAATTATGCAAAATGACATGCAACTAACCCTCACACAAACCCTGGCCCTGTAGTAAGTGAATATATAATTACACTGAAACAATGACACCTTAAAATAAAGTGTAACCTTATATTCTGACATAGTTATCTGAATTTTTAATGGAAACAATTGGGATAGATATAGCCTACTAGTGTTTTATAAATAGTTTTAGAGAAGCTGGAATGAATACTGTTGGGTTTTTGATTGGAGACTTTGATTTGAGATTTGAGACTTTAGTGGAGACACATGTGAGATTTCTAGGCTATTTTCTCATGTGAAACATCCAAGAAGCAGGCAACATCTCCAGTTTATCTCCATGCAATCTCATTGGTGTCTATTGTTGATTGGATAAAAAAGGCAAATCTAAAAGCAAGCTTGCTGTCGATTGTAAAAGAGCAGGGGTAAGGGGACTAAATGATTGGAGTCTGGCACACATCACCAGAGAGAAGTCTGTTGTTTCACTAGAAGATCTAGTTATGACATTTTTTTTTTTTGATTAAATATTTATTTAAAAAAAATGTTTTAACTGTAACATATGCATGGGTAAATTCACAATCAATAGCATGCATTTAGAAAATAGATGAGCGTTTCAAAAGCGTTTCAATCTCTCTACAATGTAGAATGAAAATCAGGAATCCAAACCTTAAATGTACAGTTGAAAAAATGCCTGGTATTATCAGATCAAATGCTGATATTGATTTATTGTGCATCATTATAAGAGCTATCTCTGCGAATGTGATTGTGTGTGCACTGCATGCAGTACAACATCAGCTATATAATATAGCAGGAGTAATTCGGTGTATTTATGATCACCTGCCTCATCCAAAGCAGCTGACTCGATTCAACCAGTGAGACAGTTTTATTTTCATCCTACATCACACATGGCATTGCTCATGATCTCTGATTGATGCATTCTAGCTTGAAGATGATATTAAACTTGCAGACTGACATAGACATTAATTAGCTGCAAATATAGGACATTTCTGTTGTTTTTTTCATTAACACTTGAGCATTTAAGTCTCTTCATTTCTTTTAATAAGCTCATCTAGTAAATGGGGTCAATATAAAAGCCAAGAGCGTTTTCTGGGGTATGCCTTTTACCACGCTTGGCTGAGTCGGTTTTCAGTGAGGCCAGATGAACGCAACCGCTCTTGCGTGCTGCCAGCACTTTG